TCTAACACCAGCGGCACCCCCAGAAGCCGTAGGACGAACACCCTCCTCCACACCAGCACCCCCAGGGGCCAAGAGCGGCGGCGGCAGTGGCGGCAACGGCTGCGGCGGCGGCGACAGCGGCGACGGCTGCGGCAGCGACAGCGGCGGCGGCGGCGACGGCTGCGGCGGTGACGACAGCGGCGACGGCTGCGGCAGCGACGGCAACGGCGGCGGCAGCGGGGTCGGCGACTGCGACAGTGGGGGCGGAGGCACCGGGGAAGGGGGACGCGGCAAGGACGGACCGGGGGTACCACCAGAGTCAGCAGACTCCTCAACGGGGACAACCGACGGGAGGGGAGTGACGTGGGAGACACCAGACGGGGCAGGACGAGGCGGGAGAGGGGCAGGGGCTACCGGGGGAGAGGGAGCAAGGAACAGGGGGGGGGCAACTGGGAGACCTCGGTGAGGGAAGCGGCGGTAGAAGGAGACGGACTCGTCAAAGGTGACGTCACGAGAGTGGAGGAAGCGGTGAGACGGCGGGTGGTAGAAAAGCCAGTCAGACGAGTCCAGGGGGAAACCGAGGAAGACACAGGGGACAGTGCGGGCAGTGAGCTTGTCCGTGCCAGAGGCACGAACGTGAGCAAGGCAGCCCCAGACGTGGAACGCAGACGCGTCACCGGGGGACCCGGTCCAAAGGAGGGTCGGCGAAACCTGCGGCCGCTGGGAGCGTGGCCACAGGTTAAGCTGGTAAGCAGCGTAGCGAACAACGAACGGCCACAAAAAATGGGGGGCATCGGCATGGATCATGGAGGTACGGGCGACCTCCATGACCAAGCCGATGCGGCGCTCAGCAACCCCATTCTGCTGTGGCGAGTCCGGCAAGGTGTACGACTGGGTGACGCCCTCCGCACGACAGAACTGTCCAAGCCGACCAGAGGCGAACTCGCCGCCACGGTCGGAGTGGAGACACAACACGGGGAGACCGCGGTGGAGACGCGCAGCCACAACCCACGGGAGAAGAACGTCGGGCACGTCGGCCTTCCGCTCCAGGGGAAACACCGTGGTGTAGCGCGTGTAGTCGTCGACGAGCACAAGGAAGTAGCGCTCACCGCGCGGTCTGGGGACGGGGGCAGGGCCCCAAACGTCCAAGTGCAGGGTCTGAAGGGGGGCAGTAGCAGGACGCAGCGAGGAAGAGTGAGGAGCATGGCGAAGCCGACCCTCGACGCAAGGCGTGCACGGTGGCGCAGTCGAGGGAGGAAGGGCAGGGAGCGACGCAGGGAGACCTAAGACAAGACCGTGCTGGGACATGTGACGCAGACGCGGGAGAGCAGGGTGACCTAAGCGGTGGTGCCAGAGAAGGGAGGGGTGAGCGAGGGACCGACACGAGCAAGCTGCAGCGACCTGGGAGGACGCACCAACCGGGGGGGAAGCGGTGTCTAGGGTAAACAGACCGGACACCGGGTCCCGGGGGAACGTCGCAAGGGGGGAACCTGAGACAGCCTCAGAACAGACAGCGAACCGCTCGTGCCCGGGGAACGTGGTGGTGACGCCGAGGTCCTGGAGACAGCCGACACCAACCAGGTTCCTGGAGAACGAGGGAACGTGGAGGCCAGTAAGGGAGCCTGAGGGAACTGCCGGACAGGGAAGGGACGTAGAACTGCGCGCGACGACCGGACCCGCAGAGGGGTCAGCGAGAGAGACAACAGCAGGTGCAGCAAGCGGCGTGAGCGTGGAACGGTCACGGAAGAAGCAGGCAGAAGCACCGGAGTCGAGAGTGAAGGACAGCGACGCAGTGGCGGAGGCCGGGGACGGAGCCGGTGCAGCGACTAGACTAGGCAACCTAGGCAGTCCTACGCCTGACGCAGCAGGGGAGGCTAAGCTACACAGTGGTGCAACACGTAAACTAGAGTACACAGGGTAATAAGATCCAGCAAAACTAGAAGTGTCATAATACAAAGCATGCAAAGCAGCACCTAGCTGATCCATGTCTAACTCAAAGATCGGCACGCCCTGGCGGAGCAGGCTGTGCCAGTCGGGGAGGTCCGGGGCCGGGCCAAAGCGACGACGAAAGAGATCATCGAGGCGGCGGAAACAGCGGGCGGTCGGGTGCGGGCGGCGGCACAGAGTGCCGCGAAGAGGCCCGGTCTGAAGCTGGTACTGGCAGGTGACAGCACCGGAGCCGCCGGTAGACGCCAAGCTGCGCGGGCCGCCACCACGGCCACTACCTCCGGAGGTGCCGGGCCAACCAGGCGGGAGACGGGCCCACTGCTGCGGCGACTGCTGCTGGGACGGTAACTGCTGCTGGGGCGGCGGCTGCGGCTGGGGCTGCTCCTGCTGCGGCTGGGGCTGCTGCTCCTGCCCACCAGTGGTAGTCCCCGCAGGCGGACTACCGTCACTACCACTACTGCCACCACCACCCCTACCCCCCTGGCGACCACAGCCACCGCGGCGCGAGCGCTGCTGCGGGTGGACCGCACCAGCCGACTCGGTGAGAGGGGCTGCCGAGGCGACCGCAGCCGAAACGTCAATGAACGCACACTGGGAGGGGGCACAACCGTGAAAGATAGAAACTGCCGGCGCACCGCTCGACTGAGCGATAGTGCGCTGGCGAGTCTCGATCTCCGTGAGGGTGTCGACAAAGGCAGTGAGAGTGAGGTCACCCGGGTGCTGGCTAAGAAAGTGATCGCGAGCACTAGCGAGGCGGTCTGGCAGGCGCATGGCGATAAAATAGAGCGTCATGCAGAAAGGGAGGGGGAGCGCAGTGAGCTGGGCAGCAGTGCTGGCAGTGCGATAGCGGGTCTCTAGGGCACGCAGGTGAGTGGCAAAGTCTGCGACGGTAGGGAAAGCTGCAAGGTCTGGGAAAAGCATAGGGAAGAGCAGGCGACCAGCAGAAGCAGACGCGGGTGTGGAATAGCGGGCAATAACAGCGTCTAAGTAAGCGTTTGGCCGTCTCAATAGTAGCAAAACGCGAGCGCTCAGAGACAGGGAGGGCGTGGCTAATGGCAACCTGAGCGACTGCATCGCGGGAGTCCCAGACCGCACGGGCAAGCGCAGCAGTAGAGAAGGTCTCACGGTCATCAGAGGAGGGATCAGCAGGGAGGGGAGCAGGTGCGGGGGGACGGGGGAGCAAGCCGTCGACATGGACAACCAAAGAGTGGCCATCCTGGCGCTGACCTGTAAGGTGGCGGCGGAGATCGGAGAGCCAGGCGGCGAAGTCAACCGCATGGCCCTCGGCGTCCAGTCGGAGCACGAAGTCCGCCATCGTGCAGGGTCAGCGGCACAGCTCCACAGGAACACAGCGACAGCCCCCTCCAGCACGGCGGCCGCGAAGCGCCTCAGCACGGGCAAGCAGAGGAGACGGAGCCCGAGGCGGCACGGCAGGACGAGCCGGGGCGAAGGGGTCAGGCAGGTGCGGTGGGGCCAGGCAGGTGCTGGCGAGGCCAGGAAGGCACGGCGGGGCCAGGCAGGCGCGGCGGGGCCAGGCAGGCGCGGCGGGGCCAGGCAGGCGCGGCAGGGCCAGGCAGGCGCGGCGGGGCCAGGCAGGCGCGGCGGGGCCAGGGAGGCGCGGCGGGGCCAGGCAGGCGCGGCGGGGCCAGGGAGGCGCGGCGGGGGGCAGGCAGGCGCGGCAGGGCCAGGCAGGTGCGGCGGGGCCAGGCGGGCGCGACGGGGCCAGGCAGGCGCGACGGGGCCAGGCAGGGCGCGACGGGGCCAGGCAGGCGCGGCAGGGCCAGGGAGGCGCGGCGGGGCCAGGCAGGCGTGACGGGGCCAGGCAGGGCGCGACGGGGCTAGGCAGGGCGCGACGGGGCCAGGCGGGCGCGACGGAGCCAGGCAGGGCGCGACGGGGCCAAGCGGCGGGGCCAGGCAGGTGCGGCGGGGCCAGGCAGGCGCGACGGGGCCAGGCAGGCGCGACGGGGCCAGGCAGGGCGCGACGGGGCCAGGCAGGCGCGGCGGGGCCAGGCAGGCGCGGTAGGGCCAGGGAGGCGCGGCGGGGCCAGGCAGGCGTGACGGGGCCAGGCAGGGCGCGACGGGGCTAGGCAGGGCGCGACGGGGCCAGGCGGGCGCGACGGAGCCAGGCAGGGCGCGACGGGGCCAAGCGGGCGCGACGGGGCCAGGCAGGGCGCGACGGGGCTAGGCAGGGCGCGACGGGGCCAGGCAGGGCGCGACGGGGCTAGGCAGAGCGCGACGGGGCCGAGCGGGCGCGACGGGGCCAGGCAGGGCGCGACGGGGCTAGGCAGGGCTCGACGGGGCCAGGCGGGCGCGAGGGAGCCAGGCAGGGCGCGACGGGGCCGAGCGGGCGCGACGGGGTCAGGCAGGGCGCGACGGGGCCAGGCAGGGCGCGACGGGGCTAGGGTGGCGCGACGGGGCTAGGGTGGCGCGACGGGGCCCAGGAGGGGCGCGACGGGGCTAGGGTGGCGCGACGGGGCTAGGGTGGCGCGACGTGGCCCAGGAGGGGGGGGGGGGGCGACGTGGCTAGGAGGCGCGACGTGGCTAGGAGGCGCGACGTGGCCTAGCTAGGGTACGGGCGGAAGCGGTAGGTGGGGGATGCTAACCTACGCTCTGATACCATGTCAAAGTGAGAACGAATAATGACTAGAGGTGGAAACCTAGAACAAATACTAGTTGGTTGTACTCACTAGAAGCATACCTCAGTCTAGCCTATAACTTCTACATAGATAATATGTATAAGTTGACACTTTTTTCCTACAGTTTCTGACTAACCGTGGAACACGACCGTACATATTATCGAGGCCCCTAATACTGAGCGCCAATGTACTTTCCCGGGCAACAAGGGTCAAGGGTCACCCTGCTTAGAGTTACCCTTCTGATTCCTTAGGTTATCATTCTACGGCTACCATCGTTCATGACCAGCCAGCCTTCGTTTTATTATATCATGATAGTGGTGTATTGGGGTGTATAAGGTCTATGATCTTCCGAGTTGAGTCTCTTAATGAAATCATCTTAACGTACCAAATTCTCATCCACCTTCTACAAGGTTGGCACAAATGTGGACAGGAGCAACAAATATGCAAAGAGAAACTTTACATCAAGAGCTAAGTAAGTACATACAAGAGCATGCAAGACACATGATGCAACCCAATCCCCTAATCAAAACATTTCCTCCTAGAAATCTAGTCAGTGAACTCAGGAATCATGACGTTGTTAACCCCATGGATCGCCACGTGGACGTCTTGGTACACATTGTTCACCTTCACGTAGGCACCACCGTGCGTGCCGGGTTTGCCAAATTGCGGGAGCTTCGTGGGGAACCGCCTCACCTTGAAACTCTCATACCCAGTCACTAGCTGCATGATTGCAGAGAGGAGAAACAGGAAGGCGAAACAGGAGGTAAGGGCAACGTAAAAAGGGGGAACTCTTGAGTCAGACGGCGACCTCGACACGTACAACTTTTGAGGAACACACGCTCATCTCCAGCCACCTCTAGCTGTAATATGGGTTGACATGTAACGGCAGCCAGCATGTGATATACTCTGAGACGCCTCGAAGCTGTGGAATATCATAATCCAGTCACCAGCTACAGTGGAGGATACGCACCAACTTGTTGTACGGGTACCTCGTGAGCTGCTTGTACATGTAACGTACCGCCAGCAAGTGATACGCGTTTCGAGACGTCTCGATTCTAGCAGTAGGAATATCAGAATCCAACGAGTTCTCACCAACTTGTTGTACGGGATCCTCGTGAGCTGCTTGTACATGTAACGGCCGGCGATCATGTGATACGCGAACACCTGCCACATCTTCTTGGGGTCCTTGCGGAGCAGGTTCCGCGTGTACGCGCTGAGCTTGTTCCACCCCGTGTTCATCGGCAGCAGCAGAGTCGTCGTCGATTCAGGCAATCTCACTACAAGGGTGTCGTTGAATCCTGCACACAAAGAAAGAAACGGTATAACCAGAAAAGGCAAAGAGTGAATCGTGATGAAACGGAGGGATTCTATAACGTGGACAAGAACACGGAGGACGAATTGAGTCACCACACCCCCTCGTGTTTGTGATGGCGAATAACATCCCGGAGGCTCTTGGAAATAGTTTTTTACTTTCCTTAATAAGCTACTTGTAGAGAGAGAATGCAGGGCATTGCATGTTGAGCGCGCAAAACGGCGCATGCCGGACATATGTTGCTCGCACGAATGAAAACAGAACGGAAACGGAGTGAAAACGGAATGGAAACGGAGTGGAAACGGAACCATTCATGAAGCACTCACCACACTCCCGCATGTACGTGACGGTGGTCGTCATCTTCTTCCTCGTCAGAGCAGCCTCGATTCGTTTCAACGCGTTGAGCCCCGAGTATTGCGCGTGCGCTGCGACGAGAGCGCTGAGCAGCAGCACCGCGAGGAGGAGAGGAGCGTGGAGCCTTCGCATTGCCATCGGCGGTATTAGTAGTAGTAATGGATGCTACTAGTATGGATGCTACGATGCTACGATGTGTGAAGTATGCTGTGCTATTGGCGCCTGTGAAGTATGCAAGTGGACAGCGCTTAGTGCGTGGCTGGCGCTTTTTGGCACTGGAATGAGCAACTGAAGGTTCTACAAAAGGTAAAATGGCTCATTGATCGACTCGCCGACCAGAGGACTAGTTTCTAAACTAGGTGTTTCATTCAGTTTTCAGTGGTACAGCACGACTTTTCTTGAAGCTGCTGTGTCTGACAACTTCCACGGATGGTGGCATAGTACCAATGCAGTCAGGACGTGCGACTGGGAGTCTGGGACATAGGCGTTCGATTCGAACGGGTACCACATTGCACCGCATCGTATCCTACTAGAAAACTCGGTACCGTTCGAACGGCGATTTGGTGGGGGTGCTAGTCTGATGGTGGAGCGAGCATGCTGAGCAGGAAGTGTAGAAACCAACGGGCGAGAAACGGCCCACCCACAGCAACACCAGGTTGAAGCAACTGACACTGCAAAACCACCGATCTGCACCGTACGGAAACTTGTGAAAACCCTAAGGAAACCCATTTGCCACCCAGGCTCGTTTGAGCAACCAAAAGGGTAACGCCAGCGACACGGCATTGCACCCTGCCCAATCGCCATGAACTGTGTTCACCCCAGCCAACATCGCGCCTGTTTTGCTTGTTGGAGGGAAACTTTGCATCAGCTCCACATCATGCTCGGCAAATGAGTGTTTGTTCCACGAGACGCAGGCAAGTTTGTGTCAGCGATGTCAGTTTCGTTGTGTATGGCTGATTGGTGGAGGCCAGCATTGCAGCGGGTTGACCAGTGGTTCCAAATCAGCATCGCTCATTGGCAGGCGCAGACACGTTCACACGCTTATTAGCAGTGCTAGTAATGATAGGGCGATCGAAACGCACATATTGATGCAATCACCTGAATTCAATGTCGGTGTCTGGCTGCTGCAAGTGTTTCATGATCGTTACAAGCGCCAGGCAGTGCCTCGTCTACAGTCAAGAAATTGGCCAAATCAACTTTTCCAACGAGAGCTTCAACGTTGAATGCCAAGATTCTGTTTTATTTTATACACTCATACGATACAACTTAAGCATACAAGGCACAACTCATATCTACGTCCAATACAACATGCATGCAAGGCTAATGTTGAGTTACAGAACCATTCCCACCACTTATAAGGTGCAGATCACCTAAACTTAATTCTATACCATCAATTGAAATCAGGAACAATGACATTGTTGACCCCATGCACAATCACATGGCCGTCTTGAAAAATCTCCCCCATTTCAATGTAAGCCCCGCGATGTTGCCCGGGTTTGGCATACTGTGGGTCCTTTGTGGGCAGGCGGCGGATAAATTGCTTCTTCATCCCGGTAGGTAACTGCAGAAGTATGGCAAGGAGTACAGGTGGAAAACGAGACACGTGCGCAGAAAGCTGTGATACAGATGCTGTTGTGAAGGAATGATGACAAGCATCGGGATACGGTGTCATGCGAGGGGAAAGGACACACAAAGACTTCCCGTTTGAGAATTGCAATGGAAATTATTGCAACTGCATGTGCTGGATGCCGTCACAGTGTACTTCACCTTGTCTCCATCCGTACCCGCTGTAGTTTTCCTCGAAAATGAATACAACACGCACCTGTGTGCCAGGCGGGTACCAAGCGAGTTGCACTTTGGTGTAGCGCTCCGCAACGAGGTGATACGCGAAGATCTGCCAGAGTTTAGTGTTGTTGGCTCGGACCTGCCCGCGCGCCCAGCTGCTCATCTTGTTCCACGCGCTGTTGATCGGCACCAGAAACGTCATCTTGTCCTTGGGCAGCTTCTCCGCAAGAGTGTTGTTGAAACCTGCCCGTCGGCGTCAAGGAGAACGAAAAGAACCAAAGGGATGACGGAAATATTAACTGGCGAAACAGGAACCACGACGACGAGGAACAAAAGCAGGCTAGGAAACACAAGAGAAGAAACTTCAGAGAAGGAGCAGGCTGGCAGCAGCAGCATCTGCCGCAGCAACGCTGCGCGATGGTTCGGAGGCTCCTTGGTCACAAAAAGGGTAATGGCTTCTGGAGTTTGATCTACGAATAAACGTCAATACGAAGGGCCGCAAACGTGGAGCACCACCGGAAGTGACGTAGACGACTTCCCTCCTTGTGAGGTGGTGTGGGAGGTCGGAGGTGCGGTGGCAATGGCGGCACTGTGGGGTGACTTTCGAGTCACTTTCTGAAGCTGGACAGCATTGCCGCATGCGCGTGCATATTGGAATATCCGCCTTTTGAAGACTATTTCAGAAACTCACGATAGCCCGCGGGCATGTGTGCTCACAGACAGCTGACAGGACTTGAGACGTCTCTCAGACTTCGCATGCTCAAGTTAGACACGGTTCCCGTGTCTCTCGTTCCCCCGGCCACCGGGTCGCTTTTACAGCAGGCGCCAGATGGAAAGAGATTCGCCTCCATCACACATGGCGCATAATGGCGGGTGCATGTGCTCTCCACTCGCTGTCTCGCGGCGCGATGACCAGCACGTGCCTTGCACGCTTCAACTGCGTACGGTACGCGAGAGACGTCTAACGTGGCTGACCTAAAGACTAAACCGCATCGACTCATTCGTGAGCGACGTCCCGTTTCAAAATACTATTTAATCGACTCGGGAGTAACCTCCAGGGGCGTCGACATGGCTGACCTAGAGAGTAGACCACATCGTCTCGTTCGGGAGCGACGTCTCGTTTCGAAGGACTAGGCGACTTTAGAGTCGACTCAAAAGTGACCTCAACAGAATCTCGGTTCGAAGGACTCCTGACGTCTCAGAGGTCGTGACGTATCTTCGCAGGCTGTCTCGTCTCAGCCTGTCTCGTCCCAACCTGCTTCGCATCCCGTGCTTACCGCTTTTCCTCAAGTATGTGATCGCCGTCGTGAGCCGCTTCTTCCGCAGCGCGTTCTCTATGGCGCGGACGGCGAACTTGCCCGAGTACTGTGCGTACGCGCTAGAGGCGGACGCGAGAACGATCACAGCGACGACGAGAATCGCCAGGAGGAGCGACGAACGGGAGGAGGAGGACGGCGTCGCCATCGCGGCGCGCGACGAGAGTTTCAAAACTTCTGAAGGACCGACTGCCCGAAGGACCTTCACACACTCAGGAGCTCGCTTGTAACAACCTAGATGGATGCCTTCGCCTGAATTCAAACGGTAAGATGGATGCACGAGATGCGTTGACCAAGTAGCAGGTACAACGCTACCAGTGATCTAAATACCTGAGTAATTGCTAGGCATTTGGCTGTTGGAGGGTGGACTGGGCTTGGTTGCTGTGAAGGGAGGTCTCCCACCCAACTCACACGACATGGCAGTGGATAGGTGCGCACTGCAGAGCGCAAATTGCATGACGGGGGACTCGTCATTGGCGTCATCGTGAGATGGTGCTGTGCTGGGGGTGGGGGGAGGGGGGAGGGGGGAGGGGAAGAGAAGAGAGTTCGCTCGTTGGAGGTGGGGAAGGTTGTGGGAGGAATGTGTGGGGGGAGAGGAGGCGGGGGAGAGTGGGGGGGACGGAAGGTTGCGGTCATCGGTGTTTGTACAGTATGATGGTTGGCGATGGGGAGACTCGAGCGAGAATCCACGAGAGTCAAGAAGACTGGGCGAGAGTCTTCCGCCGCAAGGTTCGTGGCTGCGAGATTTGGGAGGGCTGCATGTGCGAAACTTTTGACAGGGTAACGACGAGTCACGAACAACAAAGGAGGTCGAACGATGGCGGGGAGGGGCAACGAAGAGGGTGCGCTGCCCAACAGGTTGCCAATTGCATCAATGCTGGCCAATTGGGAGTCAGGAAGAGGGCGCGACAAGGGGGCTGCGTTCAGGTAGGCCAGGAGATTTTGGAATTTACCGCGCGCAGAAACTCCGCTTGCCCCGCCTGCTGCTCCGCGTGCGATGAGCGACGTGAATGTCGCTCAGGTCGTCGCTCAGGGGGGAGGGAAGTCGGTGATCTGGAGACGCAGGTGCTAGATGATGTCAGAGAACGGCTTGTGCCTAGCTTTGACCAGGTCATAAAAAATGCGAGAAACTGTCAACGGATCTAACCAATCGCTGAGGCGAGTCACCACAATCAGATTCATAACCAGAATCTAGGTGAATCAGGTTCCCATAGTTGGGTATTATACTATAGGCTCGTGTTATAACATAAAATACATCTACTATAAATAATTGATGTCGTCACCTATTCTAATACGAGTGACCCCTAACTTTTAGCGTCTCCAGCTGCCCCCTAACACCACACCAGCAGCCCTAACGTCCCCCCTTTTTGTAAACGAAGTCACCGTCTCTAGCCTTCCGTGCTCCCCCATGCTCGCAATTGCCTCAGCAACTCCCTTGTCAGGGCTCCAGGCATCCTCCCCACTGATAAACGGATTCCTGCTGGTGTCCCTCACCTCCTTTGGAACCGCCTGGTCCACACGCTGTGCACCATCCATGCCATGGTCACCTCCCATTTGGTGAACATCCTGCACTCCCCCCTTCGTCTTCTTCTTCCCAAACGGGCTTCCCTTCCGCCATGCCCTCTCCTTCTTCCCCTCGCCCTCCCCTCTACTCAACCCCACCGCCGTCTCCTCTCTCGTCTGAGGCACCACCTCTCCAACAGCGTCCAAAGCTTCAGCCCCAACAGGGAAGTGCCGCGCTCTTTCCTCCGCAGCACCTGCTCCACCTCCTCTCACATCCTGCTCAAGGTGACCCGCTGCAGAGGCAGCATCAGCACCCGCCTCCCTGCTAGCACTGTCGGCACAGCTGGCCTTTTCAGCGCGATCCCCAGCCGTGGCGATTAGAGGCGCCTCAGGACGTTGGCCTGGCGACCTGCTCTTGCACAGAATGGACTGACCTCTACCCGCCTCCACCTCCCCACCGCCCCCTTGCGCATCCCTCTCTCCTGCCACCCCAGTACCCTCCCCCTCTGCCCCACCCGCGCGCCTCCCGCCCCTCTTCTCCTTCTTCAGGCTTGGTGACCTCCGGGGCAGGCTCGGGGTCCTGGCTTCCAGGCTCGGGGTTCTGGCATCAAGGGCGAGGGGGACTGCCATGCCATCATGCTCCTTGGAATACTCCATCCCTAGAGAATCGAAGGCCGGCTGCCGCATCATCTGCTTCACCACCTCTGTGGACTGCATTGGCCGGGCTGTCTGAGTTGACCTAGGAGACTTACCTGGGCTTCCCTCCTCTTTCTCCACCGGGGACCCTCTCGCCTTCCTGCTCCGCCTCTTCTCCCCTTGCTGCGGGCTGTCAGGGCTGCACCCCCCTCCCTTGCCATCCCCCCTCCTCGCCCTCCCACTCGCACTCTTCTTCCCTTGACTGCCAGGCGACTGCACCTCCTCCCCCTGCCTGCCATGCCTGTTGTCCCTGCTGCTCCTGCTGTTGTTGGTCCTCCTCCTTGGCTTCAGCCCCCACTCTCCCTCCACTGCTCCCTTTGCATGCCTTCCTGCCTCCCCTCGCTTGCCCTCTGCTCTCTCTTCCTCCTCGCCCTCACCTGCCAGCATCACTGTATGCTCCTTGGTCCGTTCCTCCTCCCCATACTCCTCCCCATACTCCTCCCCATACTCCTGCCTCTCCCCACCCTCATTCTTTCCTTCCATTCTCCCACCATGTTTCTCGCTCCTGCTCCCCCCCCTCCTGTTCCTGCTGCCACTCCTGCTTCTGCTGCCGCCGCTGCTGCCGCGCCTGACCCCACTGCCCCTGGACGTTGCCGACGTCACACTGCTCCCTGCTGACGTCACAGACGTTGTACGTCGAGGTCGGGGTGACCTGCCCCTATTCTGGTGTCCCGCCACTCCCTCCTCCCCCCACACACGCCCCGCCTCCTCCTCCTCCTCCTCCTCCTCCTCCTCCTCGCTTCCCGGCCCTTGAAACACCTCCCACTCCCCACTAGTCCACATCCCCTTCCTCCCCTTCTCCCTGCTGCTGCTGCTCCTCCTTCTCCTTCCCTTGCCTCCACTCCCACCACTCTTCCCACTACCACTCCTCTCAAGCTTCCCACTCACACCGTGGATTCCCTTCGCCTCCCTCTCCTCCTCCCCTCCCCCAACTCCACTCCTACCTTTCTCCTCCAGTCCTCCTCTCCCTCCCCTCTTCTCCCTCCCCTCCACAACCACCGCTTTCTCCTCAGTCTCCCAGCTCGTTCCACTGCCCCAATCGCCATTCCCCCCTCCATAACCCACCCCAGTACCTGCACCATTATTCCTTCCATTACTACTGGCAGAACAGCCCTTCTTCCTCCCCGCCTCTACCAACCCCCCCTGCCTCGGAACAGGAGAAGTCAGTCTAGCAACAGGCGAGGGCGGCTGGGCAGCAGGAGCAGGCATTCCAGCTATGGGCGAGGGCGCCTGGGCAGCAGGAGCAGGCATTCCAGCTATGGGCGAGGATGACAGGGAAGCAGGCGAAGGAGCACGGGCTATGGGGGACGGGGATCTGCTCCTCTTGCCGTCAGGTATGAGGAGCCGCTTTAATGGAGAAGCGAGCATGCTTATAGGGGAGACAGGCCGTCTCACAGGGGAGGTGGAGGTACGCACCGGGGAGGTGCGTGTAGGGGAGGTGCGTCTAGGGGAGGTCTTTTTAAGGGAGGTATTTCTAGGGGAGGCGCTTACTGGGGACGTAGACCTGCTCTTTGGCAATGTGGGTTTGCGCAGTGCAGACGCAACAAGTGCCGGTTTGCCTGCGGGCTTGTCCTTGGGCGAATACAAGCGGCTGAAGGGGGAGGTAGATCTGATGGGAGAGGTGGATCTGAGAGGGGAGGAAGGTCCGTTGAGGGGTGATGTAGCCATGAGAGGGGAGGTGGGCTCATTAAGAGGCGAGGCAAGAGGCGAAGCAAGGGGTGAGGTGACCCTCAAGGGAGACGTGGATCGCCGCCTGCTGCCGGGCAGAGCGTGCTCTATCGCTCTTGCAAGGACGCTATCCCCCCCTGGCTCCCCCCACCTCTTCCTCTGCCGCCTCCCGCTGCTGCGCTCGCCCCCCTCCCTCTCCTCCTCCACTCTCCGCCCCTCTTCCTCCAGCTTCTGCTGCTGCTGCTGTTGCTGTTGCTGTTGCTGTTGCTGCTGCTTCTGCTGCTGCTTCTGCTGCTGGCGCTGCTGCTTCTGCTTCTCCTTCTCCTGCTCCCTCTGCTTCTCCCTCTGCTGCTGCTGCTGCCGCCTATCCTGCTCGTCCTTCTTCATCCTCCTCTCTCTCTCCCTCCCCTCCGCCCCTTCATCCTCCATCACCACTTCTGTCCCCTCCTCCGATTCTTCGAAAGAGCTTGAAGCTCTTGAGCATGCACCTTCATCCTCCTCCTCCTCACTCACCAGTTCCCTCTCGGTATCCACTACCACTTCCCTCTCGGTATCCACTACCACTTCTCTGTCGTCTTCCTCCTCCTCCTCCTCCTCCTCCTCCTCCTCCTCCTCCTCCTCCTCCTCCTCCTCCTCCTCCTCCTCCTCCTCCTCCTCCTCCTCCTCCCCCCCTTCATCCTCACTCCACTCAGACGTGTAGCATTCATCCCCATCCCCTTCCACTACTCTCTCTCCCTCACACTGCCCTCTCGCCTCCTCGACTCTTGCAGAACCACACACAGAACCAGCACCACCAGCGCTGGCGGTGGCTGCAGTCGCATCAGCACCAACGCCAGCAGCTGTGACACCAGCAGCAGCAGCGATGTTCTTACCAGCAAAAGCAGCAGCAGCAGCAGAAGCAGCAGCATCGGCAGGGGAAACAGTAGCATCAGTAGGAGCAGCAGCAGCGGTGGTGGAAGTGGCCACTGGTACAAGGGCGGGCGAGGAGGGTTGAAGGGACTGGGTAGTGAAGGGAGAGCTTGAGAGGGATGTGAGTGAGCCGAGGGAGAGAGAGATCTTGCTGCCGTCAGACGACATGGCCAATGCTGTAGCAGCAGCTGTAGCAGCTGTACCAGCTGCAGCGGCAGACGTCAATCCATGGGTCATCATTGCCCTGCTTGCTGCTACATTCTCCTGCATCCTCCCTGCTGCGTCTCCCCATGCAGCCATACCTCCTGGCGGCGCAGCATACTCACCCGAAACACCTGGTGTGTTGATTTCACCTGAAAAGCCTGGCATTTCACCTGAGAGCGCTGACGCTGCAGCTGTGGCCCCTCCAGAGGAGAGATAGCTGGCACAGCTCCGATCGTCCTCAAACTCACGTCTCTCCCCATCCCTCACCTTCCCTCCCCCTGATCTCCCCTCCTCTTCCTCCTCCCTCTCCTCCTCCTCTTCCTCCCCCGACCCATCCCTCTCACTATCACTATCACTGTAATCCGTCCCACTCTCCTCCTCCTCGCTCTCTTCCTCTTCACTTCCCTCCTCACTTCCCTCCTCACTCCCCTCCTCACTCTCCTCCTCACCCTCGCTCTCCTCTTCCCTCTCCTCTCGCCTCTCAAGCCCATCACCACTTCCAGAGGCGGCAGGCAGGGAGGAACGAGCAGCAGCACCCGCTGCAAAGCCTGGGGTGTCAACCGAGCTTCGACAGGACGCCCCTCGCACCAGAGTAAGCGAGCTTTCCGACTCCCCCACTCCCTCCCTCCTCCTTGCCCCCACACTGCTCCCCCCCACGCTCTCCCCTCCTCCTTCCCTTCGGCCTCCTCCTCTCGCCCCCTGGCCCGCACCCAGTGAGAGACTATCACACGGCACAGAGGGGCCGGAGGGGGGGGTGGGACCAGAGGGGGGACTGGGGGAAGTCAATGCCAGGTAGGAGGGGTGGGAGGGGGGCTTATGACCTGAAGAGGGGGAGTTGGGGCCGGAGGGGGGACTGGGGGAGCCAAATAGGAGGTCCGAGATCTTAGCAGCAGTGGGGGTCATCGTCGTTGCCGCTGCCACTGCTGCCGCCCACAGCGCTGGCTTGGCCTCCGGACCAGCTGGCAGCACAGCTGGCACTACAGCTGGCGGTCCAGCTGGCAGTCCAGCTGGCGAAGCGGGGTTGGTCGGTCCGATAGCACCAGGGGTTGAGGGGGCAGCAGCTGCAGTCGAGGCGACAGTAGGAGCAGCGGGAGGGGTGGCAGGGACCTCCACAGGAGGCTCTGCTCCTGCACCTGTCGCCAGCAGCTCACGAGGTTCTGTCACTTCTAACGGGGCAGCCTGTAACGGGTACACAGGTCCTGCTAGTGGATCGTTAGCCTCTTGGTATCCCCCAAGCGTGTTTCCAGCAGGGGGAGCGCAGAGGAAGGGGTTCGTGGGATGCAGCTGCAGCTCGTTAGTAGACGTCTCGATACTAGGATGGAATTGCGCTTCTCCCTGCTCCCCACGAGCCGCTGCCTCCTCCCACACGCCCACCGCCCACGCTGGTTCTTCTATCGAGTGTGACTGTATCGCGTCCGTTGGCGATCCGTCTAGCCACGCCTTCACTGCTGAGCTGTTCCCGTTGGCCGCACTACCCGTCCGTACAGTCACTTCTACTGCCTCTGCTTCTATTGCTGCACCTTCTGCACCAGCAGCAGCAGGAGCGGCAATGCAAGCAGCAGCACCGGCAGCAGCAGCACCCTCAGCAGTAGCAGCAGCAGGAGGGGCAGTGACACTATCAAGAGCCACAGCCTGGCTCTCCTGTAATTCGTCCAGCCCAGCCAGCGTCCACACGCCCTCACCGTTCACCTCTCGCCACACCAGGGCAGGCCCACTCCTCCTCCCACTGCTCTTCACCGCACTGCCTCCCGAACCTGCTCTTGCCATTCCCACACCTCCCTCAAAGGTCTTCCCGGCCTTCACACTCCCATCTAAACCCTGCTCCCTATCTCCGACCCTTCCTTCTCCAGTGTACACCTTTGCCTCCTCCCCAGCAGCAGCAGCACCAGCAGCAGCAGCAGCAGCAGCATCACCACCACCACCACTGCTACCGTCACTACCAATCACACCCTGCAGATTCGCCACGTCATCAACCGACTCCCACGGCAGCGGCATCCCCTTTATAGGCGGCGGCCTCGTCTTCTCGAGACTCGCTCGCCCGCTATACACCGGCGGCCTGACAGCTGCTGGCGTGGCAGGCCGAGCTGGCATGACAGGGAATGCTGACGTGGCAGCGGGACGAGGGGAGGGGAGGGCTTTCGGCGTCACCACCACATCAGCTTCCCCTGCAGCAGCAGCAGCAGCAGCAGCAGCACTCTCGCGGGCACCAATAACCTCCCAGTGATCATTCTCTTTTGAAGGGGAGTCCGAGGGGAGGAGTGGAGGCAGGACCGATAAGCCGCCAGCCCCGTTGCCCCTCGCATGCCTGACAGCTAGGCGCCCTGTATCCCGCACACCCCTTCTCTCCGGCAGGGGGGCACAAACCAGACCATTCCCAGGCTGCCTGTTATCCCTGTTCTCCCTATTCTTCCTTTGACCTGGAGCCTGCTGCTCCCCTGCTCGTCCTGCCTTCTCTGTTTCTGCTCCCGCTGCCGCTACTGCTGCCGCTGATCCCTCTTCTACAACGTCTGCTGCTTCGCCTGCTGCTTCGCCTGCTGCTTCGCCTGCTGCTGTTCCAGGTCCCCTTAGCCCTGCGTTCTCCGTCATCCCCGCTACACGCATCCCCACTAACATATCTAGGCTCGACCTCGCGTTCTCGGGGTCCCCGAACGTGCTTATAACGGTTCCGGGCGCTGCTGCTGGGAGGTTCCCCACGTCTTGGAACGGTAGCCGGGCGGAGTTGGCGGCTGGTGTGAGAACACGCCCCTGCTGCTGCTGCTGGCACTTAGCTAAGTGCATCTCGTAGCCACACGCGCGAAGGAAGAGCACCTGTGGGTGGAACGAAATGGAGGAAACAGACGGGATTAAGAAGAGAGGGAATGAGCGACAGAAGAAAAGAGGGGTGGGAAAGCATTGAAACTTTATAACCCCACTTCCCTGCGTTCGCGAGATCCCTTCCTGGTAACCCCACTTCACCTCATCTCGCAGCTTCTTCGCCTCCTCCTCGTGCCTCGCTACGCGTCGCCTCAGCTCCGCGACCTCCAACCTTAACTCGTCCAGCTCTTCGCTGCTCGCCTCCGCCATTCCCGCGCCCAACCCCATCCCGCCACGTGGCACTCGGACGCACGTGCTCTCGCAGGAGCCCACGGAAGACCCGGCGGCTCTCGCGGACTCGCTACTGCATGACGTGTCCTCATCCTCTTCGTCAACCTCCTCCGCAAATCGCGCTACTCTCGCCTTCTCCCCCTCCTCCCCGCCAGATTTGCCAGCCCCACCCTTTTGATGACTCAGCTGCTTCGCGGGTTTCGGCGAAGCATCCGTTCCCTGCTGGAGTAGCGGCTCGGCAGGAATAGCAGGCCCTAGAATAGCTGCTGCTGCGATGGCTGTCGCGGCTGCCACGTCATCATCTGGCGTGACGGCTTTAGGGTGGTGCAGGTGCGGCGGGTGGTTGAGCTGGTGACTATGTCGAAGGTATTTCGTTTCAGTAGCACCGAGAGGGGGGAGAATCCCTTCCGCTGCTGCTTTCGCCGTGGCGGCTGCGGCGGCGGCTTCCGTGTTGGGGTTTGGCTGGGAGAAGGACTTATCCGGCCACGTGGGTCCGGTGGCTGAGGGGAACAGCTGACGTGGATCGGGGGATCCGTTGGTTGGGAATATACGGCTCCCGCCGGTGGAGAGAAGGCGATCTTTCTTGTCGCGGGGAAAGGGGGGATTTTCCTGCAGAGATCAGACGTGACAAATAAAGCTGTCAGCAAGGCTTCGCACGGAATTATGCAACGTAAAATAAATAAAATTATTATGTGAGGGTTATCAAAACTGCGAGGACTTATTATACACGGACGACGAAAGAATCTTTCCATATGAAATTGTGGCCTCACCCGCTTGACGGTGAGATGGTCGCCGTCGCCGTCGCCGTCGCTGTCTTCAAGTGTCGCTGCCGCCATTCGCAGGCCTTCGTGCGATTTGAGCGATCGCTGGCGACCGTCTGCGAAAGAGCTGGACGCCTCTACAGGGATGGTTCCGCCGAAGCAAGCGAGCATCTTGCCTCCGTGCCTCCCGCCTTTCGCCTTCTTGCTGGACCACATGGCTCCTGACCTCCGTGCAACGGCACGTCTGACTAAATAGGATGATAGCTTAGGATAGAAGATCGACTATATTAAATAATTTGGCTGCGCTTCGAAAGGGCTATCTAGGGCCTAAAACAAGGGAATGCTTTGGACGTTCATCTGCCGATAATCTAGCGTGAGAAATGCGCGATTGGCAGAAATATCGTCCGACGAATATCTTCAGTGCTAGCCTGCTCCTTCGGGTTCCTACCAGAAAACGTTGACTGGTTGTCAAAAGCCATCTGAACAAACTAAGGCGACGTAAATCCGTGTTCCAATCCTACACACTACGGCAAAGTCTACGAGGAGGTCCCGAGAAACTAGGGGATTCCCGTGCACCGAATACTGCCCGCCTAGTAGGCAGACTGTTCGCGGTGGTGGTTCGGCTTGGCGCATTCCACGGATGACGGAAATACAATCCCAGAGTGACGCAGCAGCGAATCCCGCGGGCGGTGCCGAGGGGAACGAAGACATTCCCTAGAAAACTGACTGAGGCAGGCTCCCTAGGGGGATCCGAGCCAGAGCTTCCTACCAGGGAAGGGAACTGGGCCGAGTCTCGAACAGCTACTGTCAAGCCAAATCGTACGGAACGGAACGGCATGGCATGGGGCGGCGCTGTTTGGAAACTGGCGTCCCGTCCTGTGATTCCAGTTTCCAGAAACTGTGGCTGTATCCGCTCCGTTAGCGAAACTGACGGAGAGGAGGTCGGGAACTCCTAGGAAACAGAAAGGCTTTCCGTCCGAACCTGCGGCAGCTCCGCTGCAAATGGGGGAAGCTCCGTCAAAATTGGTTGGAATCCGTGGTTCGGGTGGAGGGAAATGACCGTGGCGCGACAGCGGGGAGTTCGAGGAGCGCGCGAAGGAATGCGTTCAAAAGTACGCGCCAATTTCGCACCCCCTGTGAGCTGCCAGCCAAACCGGGCCACCGATATTGTCAGACCGCCCGTGCCATCCCAACGCCTCGAAATCCAACCAATTAGGCGAACCCATAATGTTGGGCACTGCACAGTAGCTACTGCACTGTTTGATAGGGTATCTGCAACATACTGCTCAACATTCGTACAGTATACACATTTTTGTAATGCTGCAAAATTAACAACGCAAGTCTGATAGTAAAGCGGCACATTCTATCGAGATAATTGCATCCCACCCCATCCATCAATCCAAGCAACTTTCCCCACTGTCGTGAGCTAAGGTGATCGCAGCTCGGAAGCTCAGTGCGTCATTCAATGGCCGCCATTGGCTATCGCGAGCAACGATGACAGCAGCTGACAAGCCCATCCCGTCACGAGGGACGATCCATCCGATGGTTTGCTCACCCGCTTCGATTGGCGGTTTCCGTCAGCGGTCACGTCACGGGATTCATCCGTCAAACTCTAGGTCAGCTGTCAACGTCACACTCAGGCCATGGTGGGTTCCGTCCGCCGTAACATCAGGATCGCCGTCTCGCGCCATCCAAGATACTGCCGGGCCAGGCGCGAGCCGCCGTAGGGCCTTGACGGGACCTGCTGACGTGGAGGCCTCCAGGCCTGGGGGAGCTTCCGATGGATTCCGTGCTTCCCCTGTGTCCAGCCGGCGATAGTTCGAGACGTTTCCATCGCCGTGGATCCCGCCCGACGATATATCGTCGCCATATTCCGCCCTATTCCGAATATGTCTCGCAGGACTGCGCAAACGTCGCTACTCCGCCCAGTCTGAAGCTCCTGTGCAGTCGTAAGCGTCCTCACTTCCTGCCTTGCTGCTACTACTAGTCTCCGAGCGTACCAATCTCTACCGTCCTCCCCCGCCTTTAATAGAGTCACCGAGCGTACCGGCGAGAATCCATGGCTTCCCGCGCGCTGTCGAGCAACGAGGAGCTGTGGCAGCGCGCGAGCAGGACGGGCACGGGCCTGAGCGTCACCACGCTGCGATTCGCGCGAACCATCTCGCTGCACCAGGTGCGACTTTTGAGGCGCCTCAAAAGACGGGCTCGGGCCTGAGCGTCACCACGCTGCGATTCGCGCGAACCATCTCGCTGCACCAGGTGCGACTTTTGAGGCGCCTCAAAAGACGGGCTCGGGCCTGAGCGTCACCACGCTGCGATTCGCGCGAACCATCTCGCTGCACCAGGTGCGACTTTTGAGGCGCCTCAAAAGACGGGCTCGGGCCTGAGCGTCACCACGCTGCGATTCGCGCGAACCATCTCGCTGCACCAGGTGCGACTTTTGAGGCGCCTCAAAAGACGGGCTCGGGCCTGAGCGTCACCACGCTGCGATTCGCGCGAACCATCTCGCTGCACCAGGTGCGACTTTTGAGGCGCCTCAAAAGACGGGCTCGGGCCTGAGCGTCACCACGCTGCGATTCGCGCGAACCATCTCGCTGCACCAGGTGCGACTTTTGAGGCGCCTCAAAAGACGGGCTCGGGCCTGAGCGTCACCACGCTGCGATTTTTGAGTCGACTCAAAAATCACCTGCGGATATTGGCGGCGCGCGAGCAGGACGGGCACGGGCCTGAGCGAGGTGACTTTTGCGCGGACGGGCACGGGCCTGAGTTTTGAGGCGCCTCAAAATGTGGCGGCGCGCGAGCAGGACGGGCCCGGGCCTGAGCGTCACCACGCTGCGATTCGCGCGAACCATCTCGCTGCACCAGGTGCGGTGGACCGTTGACATGCTCGTGCGTTGAGGTTCAAGATAGATGCAATCACTTTCTCGCGCGAGGATTCGTCTTCAAGACGCGCAAGGGGGTGGGCGTTACCACGCTGCGTTTTTCGCGAGCCATTTCGCTGGACCAGGAGCGCTTGACACAGTTCCTTTCTTTCGAATTCGCGAGCACGACAGCTCTCCTCCCAGCAGGACAACTCCGGTTTCCCCTCTCCCCCTCCCAATCAGGCTGAAGCGGCACCTGCACTGGCAGCGTCCAAGCACCCCATCCTCGCAGCCAAATTTCTCAAGGAAGTTCTCAAGGTTACCAAGCCCCAGCCCCACTGGGAGATCCGAGTGCAGGACGGCTCTTCTCCTCCTAGCCTGTGCGACTGTGTGTCTTATCAACCCATATCCGCCCTCTCCCCCTCCCAACCAGGTTGATGCATCAGCGGCACTGGCGGCGTCCAAGCACCCCATTCTGGCTGCCAAGATTCTCAAGGTGCAGAAGCCCAAGGCGCACTGGGAGATCCGAGTGCAGGACGGCTCGGCCCCCCATGTGCGGGTCGTGGAGCGCAAGTGGGCGGACGTGCTGGGAGATGGCGCTGACACGCTTGGCGCCAGCGAATCGGAGGAGGCGCTGAGGCTGCTGACGCAGGCGGAGATGAATCTCCCTCTGGCGCTGGCTGATAAGGACGACGAGGAGGCGACCGACGTGTTCCAGGTGCGTTTTGAGGCGCCTCAAAAATCGACTGATGTGTTCCAGGTGCGTTTTGGGTGATGCTGCTGAGATGCTTGGTGCTCGGGAATCCGAGGAGGCGCTGAGGCTGCTGACGCACGCCGAGATCAATCTCCCTCTGGCTGTTGCTGATAAGGACGATGAGGAGGCGACGGTCGTGTTCCAGGTGCGTGTTTTTTCACCTGTACATGGTTTGGTCTTATGTTCAATTTACCTGAACAATACCAGAAATTGTACATGGTAAACATGGTTTTACCTGTACATGGTAAACATGGTTTTACCTGTACATGGTAAACATGGTTTTACCTGTACATGGTAAACATGGTTTTACCTGTACATGGTAAACATGGTTTTACCTGTACATGGTAAACATGGTTTTACCTGTACATGGTTTGGTCTTATGTTCTCATACCATTTCTGATTCTGTACACAGCTTGGTCGTATGTTTCATCCCCCCCCATCTGATGCTTTAATTTTTCAACCTTCCGTGTCGCTCTTGTGCTTGCGCGCACGGTATCTTGGGATGTTTCTCCAATTTTGTTCATCGGCGCCCTCCCCTCCACTCCTGCCACAGGTCCACGTGTACCCCTCTGAGCTCGCCACGTGTGTCGTCCTGAGAGGCCACTGTGCCGCCTTTGACCGCAGCTCTGCTCTCTTTGTCGCCCGGGGATTCCTCTCCTCTCTTGCAGCGGTGCTTGCTGGCTCCGCCCCTCCCTCCCCACACTGGTACGATTGCATGCTATTTCAGGTGCTAAAATTGAGCGCCTTAAGAATTGCTTGCATGCTATTTCGGGTATACATTGGTAGGCTCACCATATTATCACATCACGCATTGTCACATCGTCTCATTTCCTCACCATTTCCTCCTCCCGCTTATCCGCCCCTTCTCCTCCTCCCTCTCTCAGGCACACCTCTGGCGACTCTCTCCCGCATGCCCCTTTCTGCCCGCATGCCCAAGGGTGCGCAGTCCAAGGGGCTCTTCTTTGAACTGGTGGACACGGTGGGCTACGCTGTCATCCCTGGGACCCACACTCCTTCCTCCCTCCTATGCTCCTCGATCAGCTCCATCCCAGGACTACCACCGGTGGCTCTCTCCCCCAGCCGCTCTGCTCTCTCATGCCCAAGGGCACGCTGTCCTAGGGGCCCTTCTCCAAGGCGGTTGACACGGTGGGCCATGCCATCGAGTCACACATCGCTTTCTTCCCCACCCTTTCTTCTCCCTGCACCACTACCTCCCAGGCCTAGCAGTGGTGTCTCTCTCCCGCCGCCGCTCGCCTCTCTCATGCCCAGGGGCGCGCAGTCCAAGGGGCTCTTCTCCAAGGTGGTGGACACGGTGGGGTATGCTGTCAACTCCAAGTCCGCCATGCTGCCCTTCCAGCCGGGGTGTGCTGACTCGAGGAAGAGCCGCTTTCAGTCGGAGGTCATCTCTATTCAGCTGTCCAAGGAAGGTGAGCAGGGTTGGATCAGGAGTGCGGGGCTTGCTTACCCAGGCCCAGGGTATGCGACACGGCGGGGTACGCGGTCAACTCCAAGTCCGCCATGCTGCCCTTCCAGCCAGGGTGTGCTGACTCCAGGAAGAGCCAGTTCCGCTCCGAGATCACCTCCTATCCAGCTGTCTGGGGAAGCTGCGCACGCTTGGATCAGGTATTTGGGGCTATGCGTACCCATGGTGGTTGGCTCCGTGGGGTATGATGCCCACCCTCCACCCTCCACAACACAGAGGCAGCTCGCTGTGAGCATTGTGTGCACTGCTATGCTGAAGGCTGTACACACAGGCCTAACTTTTGAGGCGCCTCAAAAGCTGTTAGACACAGGCCTGAAGCGTGTTCCGGCATGAGGAGTCTATTTTTGAGGCGCCTCAAAAAGTGAGCATTGTGTGCACTGCTGTGCTGAAGGCTGTTACACTGCCCCTCGCCTCACAGGCCTGAAGTATGTTCCGGCGTCCTTCCCTTCCCTCCCCGTCCCGCCCCTTGCTCTTTCACACAGAGACCACCGCTCTGAAGGCGGCCTGCGAGGCGAGGGGCAGCTCGCTGTATGGCGTTGAGTGCGCCGCCGTGCTGAAGGGACAACCTTCCACCACCCCCTGGTCCCCACCCCTCTCCCTACCCCGTTCCCGCCTCCCTCTTTCTCACAGAAACTGATTCTCTCAAGGCGGCCTGTGAGGCGAGGGGCAGCTCGCTGTATGGCATTGAGTGCGCCGCCGTGCTGAAAGCGGCAGCAGAGGAGCTGCATCTCAAGAAGGAGGAGTCGTTTGGCGTCACCAGGTGAGCCGGATGCTGCTGCGGTACTGCCGTGCAGTGTGGCCAGTTTGGGTGTGCTGGGTGTGGGTGTGCTGGGAGTGGGTGTGCTGGGCGTGGGTGTGCTGGGAGTGGGTGTGCTGGGCGTGGGTGTGCTGGGAGTGGGAGTGGGTGTGCTGGGAGTGGGTGCGAATCATCAGTTTGGTTGCCTGTTGCAAGCACTATGAACCGTCCCTCCCCCACTACCTTCACTCAGCAACTGTCTTCTACTCTCTTCCTACCCCTCCGTACCCCACTACTACTCCTCAGCGCGACCGACTGTCGCCAGCACTGCGACCCCTTCCTCTGGCACTCTTCTCAGGCAGCTGTGCTCTCCCTTTTCCCCCCCTTCCTCGACACTTCGCCTTCAGCCTGATCGACTATTTTTGAGGCGCCTCAATTTGAGGCGTCTATTTCTGAGGCGCCTCAAAAATAGACTCCCCCCCTCCCACGACACTTCCCCCCTTCCTTCAGCCTGATTGACTGTCGCCAGCACTGTGACCCGCCCCTCTCCCCCTCCGCCATTGGGGTGTTTGACTCGGGCCTTCCCCTCAAGCACTCCTGCTCCCAAGCCTCCTCTCTGTGGGCTCGTCATTGAGTTTCAACCCATTCCCCACTCTCGTCCTCCCCTTCCCGCAGCCTGATCGACTGTCGCCAGCACTGCGACCCGCCCCTCTCTCCTTCCGCCATCGGCGTCTTTGACTCGGGTCTGCCGCTCAAGCACTCCTGCTCCCAGGCCTCCTCTCTGTGGGGGATTGCCGGGCAGCTCACGCAGCAGGTGGCTGCAGCGGTCAGCAAGGGCAAACATTTCTCGGAGCTGCCCGTGCTGGAGATGCTCTTTGGCACGGTGGGTGATCCTGGCTGTTTCTTCTTGGTCGTTTGTGTTATGCACGTCTCTGTTCCTCTGCCTCAAAAATAGTGGTCCTGGCTTGTTCTTCTCGGTCGTTTTTTTCACACACTTCTCTGTTCCTCTGCTTCCTTCGACTTGGATTCTTTTTTAGTCGACTCAAAAGTCACCTTCGATTTGGATTCTTACTGCTGGGATGTAAAGTTAGTTTTGACTCTTGTGAACGTCGTTTCTTCCCGCCTCCTACACAGGTGCTCAACAACCCCCCTCTCAGCCCAGAGCACTCCCTCCGCACCTCCTTTCTCACTGCCTTCACAGACGGCCCGCTCCCTCTCGACCTGACCGGCCACGAGGGCTCTGCCCTCAACGGCAGCACCAGCAATGGCAGCAGCAATGGCAGCAGCGCTGGCGATAGCGCCGACCTAGCGCCACTGCAGCTGGATGGGGTGATGGGGCCGCTGGTGGCCAGCCATGGCATCGGCCCGTGCATTGGCATGCCGGATTTTATCAAGGTAAGCACGAGGCTGTAAGGTCAAGGTGACACTCGCCTGGGCTGCTTGTATGCGCCTGGGCTGGCCTGGGCTGGCCTGCGCTGGCCTGGGCTGGCCTGGGCTGGCCTGGGCTGGCCTGGGCTGGCCTGGGCTGGCCTGGGCTGGGCTGGTGACATGTCACGCCAGCCATGGCATTGGCCTGTGCGTTGGCATGCTGGATTTTATCAAGGTTAGAATCAAACTCTGCACTTGCTCCCAAACCACCATCTGATGACAGGAATGTCCTGTATATCTACCGTATTCCCCCGTACAGGAATGTCCTGTATATCTACCGTATTCCCCCGTACAGGAATGTCCTGTATATCTACCGTATTCCCCCGTACAGGAATGTCCTGTATATCTACCGTATTCCCCCGTACAGGAATGTCCTGTATATCTACCGTATTCCCCCGTACAGGAATGTCCTGTATATCTACCGTATTCCCCCGTACAGGAATGTCCTGTATATCTACCGTATTCCCCCGTACAGGAATGTCCTGTATATCTACCGTATTCCCCCGTACAGGAATGTCCTGTATATCTACCGTATTCCCCCGTACAGGAATGTCCTGTATATCTACCGTATTCCCCCGTACAGGAATGTCCTGTATATCTACCGTATTCCCCCGTACAGGAATGTCCTGTATATCTACCGTATTCCCCCGTACAGGAATGTCCTGTATATCTACCGTATTCCCCCGTACAGGAATGTCCTGTATATCTACCGTATTCCCCCGTACAGGAATGTCCTGTATATCTACCGTATTCCCCCGTACAGGAATGTCCTGTATATCTACCGTATTCCCCCGTACAGGAATGTCCTGTATACCTATGTATGACTTGATTTTCTCTCCCTTGTTTTATTATATTATATCCCCCCTGTTGGCTTCTCTTTTCTCTTGTGCGAGTGCAGAATGGAGCTCTGGAGGTGCTGCTAGTGTACCCGAACCCACTGTACTCTCCTGCCAAGATGGCTGAGTTCGCTGTCCTCGTTAAGAGCAACCTCCTCGCAGCAGCAGCTAACCAGGATGTGTAGCTCCGCTGTCTGCTTACGGTAGCTATCGATCAGTATGATGTGAACTTCATTGTTTACGATGTCTTACAGTACATCGATGTGTACATCTGTGTGCAAAACAATGGAACATGTATTATTGCACAGTGCTTTCCATAATTCCAAAGAAAAGCTCATCATAGCGGTGCTTCACGCTTGATAATGCGAGCAACAAACACATTTGACATTTCAATTAGCCCCAGAAGTACTGGGTGTTAGCATTCGGTAGCTATTACGGCTAAGAGTCCCTTATGCAAGCCACTACTTCGTGGTCACATACTACCAGTAAAGCGTATATGGTCTAGCACCATAAAGTGTATAGGAGAGATTCCCAAAGTTGCAGACGCCTAGGTATAGCACCATGTGTGTGTGTGCGCTAGGGTGTCTGGGTGGGTGGTGCCTTTTGAGTCGACTCAAAAGTCACCTTGTATGGTTCGAAGATATGTGTGTGCATGCTTGGGTGTCTGGGTGGGTGGGTGGTGCCTGCCAAAGGAGAGCACGGCGGAGGGAATAGGGTGCAGGAGCTTGTGATTATTTTGGGACATCTCAAAACAGAACTTCTATCACGGAGAGAATAGGGATTATAAGATTGGGAATCCAGGCGTAGTAGCGCAATTGTGGAAGGCTTAATGGGACAGGGGAAGCAGAGGAGAGGCGAGTCATGGAGCAAGGCCATAAGATGCCAAATGTAGGGAATGAGGTGGAAGAGGGAGCAAGAGGGAGATAAATGTCTGTGTTTAGGATGATTGTAGTCCATGCTGAAAACCACCTCTATCGCGAGGCACGAGGAAACCAGAAGGTGTACGAGAGTTTGAGAGAGAGAGGCACACATGCACAAGCACATGCACGTGCACACATGCACACATGCACACATGCACATGCACATGCCATGCAAATGCCATGCACATGCACATACCATGCACATGCACATGCACTTGCCATGCACATGCCATGCACATGCACATACCAGTGCCTTGCATGCCGCTCATGTGGTCCACCAGCTTCACCCGTGCCTCGCATGGCCCGCCTGCTGCTGCTGCTGCCCTTGTCTCCCACTATCATGCGCTTTCTGCTCTCCTTGCGGCGGCTGCTGCGGCTGCTGCGGCTGCTGCGGCTGCTGCGGCTGCTGCTGCTGCTGCTGCTGCTGCTGCCGTCCCATGTGTTGCATTCTGCTGCTGTGGACTCCCAACCACTCAGCAGTACCAGCAGCAGCACTTTTGCCACCCCCACCAGCACCAGCACCAGCACCACCAGCACCACCAGCGCGGTTTTTAGCAGCACTGGCATCATTCCCATCCGCGCCCTGCCAGTAATTCCCCCGCTCTATCCGCCGCTGCATGGCAATCAAAGCTGACACCGGCGTCCAACCCTCTTCACCCGGGGTAGAAGATCCTTCCTCTACAGGCTCCTTTCCCTTCGGTGTGGACCCATTCTCTTCCCCCGGGGTAGTTGACCCTTCCTCCACAGGCTCCTCCTCCCCACGGGGACTGCTGCCCCCCTGCCACTGCTGGCACCACTGCCACTGCTGGCACCACTGCTGGCACCACTGCTGGCACCGCTGCCACTGCTGGCACTGCTGGCACTGCTGGCACTGCTGGCACTGCTGGCACTGCTGGCACTGCCACCATCCCTGGCAGCGGCGTGTGTGGCCAGTCTGTTGTTGTCAGCCGCTGCCAGCAGCTGCTGCCACTCGTTCTCAAACGTCACACCCTGCTGCTGCTCCTTCCCTGGCTCTTGCCCTTGTGCCTGCTGCTGCTGCTGCTGGTGCTGCTGCTGCGGTTCCCCCCCCTGTAGATTATGCTCTTGTGGCTGCGGCTCCTGCTGCTGCTGCTGCTTCTCCTCCTTTGGCTTCTGTGGCTGTTGTACCTGTTGTGGCTGTGTCATCTGCTTTGGCCGCGGCTCTTGCTGGCGTTTTGTCTCATGCTGCTTCTTTCCATCCCCCCCCCCACGGCCACTCCCCTCATGGCCACCCCCACTCCCACCAGCATCACTCGTGCCATGAGCGCTTTTCTGCTTCTGCTTTGGCCCAGTGCCGCTCTGCTCCTTGTGCTCCGTGCTCACCTTGAAATTATTTATGTTCCCTTTGCTGCTGCCGCCACCACCGCCACCGCTGCTGCTGCGGCTGCTGCTGCCGTTGCTGCCTCCATGTGATCGCTCTTCACTCTGCTTCCCCTTTGCCCCGTCCGCCACCCTCACATGGTAACTGCTCTCCTCCACCCCTCCGCCACCGCCACCACTGCTGCTGCTGCTGCTGCTGGTGCTGCCGCGGCTGCTGGTGCCCTTGCTGGCTCCACTTGATCGCCTTTCTCTTTGCTTCCCCTTTCCCCCGTCCGCCACCCTCACGTGGTAACTACTCTCCTCCACCCCTCTCTGCCATTCGTCCAAGTCCACCACCCTCCCTCCCACCATCTCCCTCCACTCCTCATTCCCCTTCCCCCCTCCAGCCTTCCCCCCCTCCTCACCTCCACTACCCGCATTTCCCCCTGAACCATCTGCCCCCCCTGAATCGTCACCTGAATTTTCACCTGAGGCTGCAGAATCTCTTGATTTCCCACCTGAAGCTTCTACTTCCAACTCGGGCCAAAGCGCGCTCGTGCCCTCGCTGAGTTTTCCACTCTCCTCCGGCTTTTCTTTTGACTCCTCCTCTGAGTTGTCTCCTGAGTTTTCTCCTGAGGCTTCTCCCGTTTTTTCACCTGGAGCCTCTCCTGACCCTGCCTCTGCTCCTGTTGCATCTCCCATGCTCCCTCCCGTTCCCCCTTCGATGCCAGATCCTTCTGAGATAGGACCCTCTGCTTGCTCTGCTCCTCCTGCTGCTCCTCCCACTTCCCCCTCTCCTTCCCCTTTCCCTCCTTTCCCTGCACTGCCATTGTTACTGCTGCTGCCGCTGCTGCTGCTGCCACCACTGCTGCTGCTGCTGCTGCTGTTGCTGCCAACACTGCCACTGCTGCTGCTGCTGCCACCACTGCTGCTGCTGCTGATGCTGTTTGCTTCGACAGTGCCTTGCATTTCAGTGAAAACCCTCTTGAAAGTGGCCCCACCAGTGCCAGCAGCAGCATCCGCGCCATCAGCACCGGAGCCATCAGCATCCGCGCCATCAGCACCGGAGCCATCAGCACCGGAGCCACCAGCACCGGAGCCATCAGCACCGGAGCCACCAGCACCGGAGCCATCAGCACCAGAGCCACCAGGGCCAGCAGCATCAGCGGCAGCAGGGCCAGCAGCATCAGCGACGGTACTGTTGCTGTCACTTCCAGTGGCACTCGATCCGCCATCACCAGCACCACCAGCAGCACCAGTAGTCTCACCACCACTAGCACCATCACCAGCAGCACCAGCACCACCAGCAGCATCAGCAGCACCACCAGCAGTATCACCACCACTAGCGCTGCCGTCGCCACCGGCACCACCATCACCACCACCAGCACCAGCGCCATCACCACTACCACTGCCACTATCAGCCTTATTCCCGGGCGTGAAATCGCCGAACTTACTGCTGGAGCCACTGCCGCCGCCACTGCCACTGCCGCCAGCATTACTGCCGCTGCCACTGCGATAACCATCTTCACTGCTGTATCGACCTCGAGCACCACCAGCAGCAGCACTCCCCACACCACCACCACCACCACCAGCACCACTGCTGCTGCCACTGCTACTAGTACCACCGCCGCCACCACCAGCGCCGCTGCTGCTGCCGTATCCGCACATGCCGAGCTGGCAGGCGGAATCAGCAGGACATGTGTTGAAGCACCCGCCGCAGTGACGTGGATCGTCCATGGTGCTGACGCACGCGCCGTCGCAGCACTGGTGGCCGGTGGGGCACGCGGTGAGGCAGTTGCCGCAGTGGAAGACGTCGCTTCTGAGGTTGCGACACGCGCGACTGGCGGGGGGAACGGCGGGGGAGGGGAAAGAGGAAGGGGGCGGGAAAGCGGAAGGGTGGTGTGAGGCTAGCGGCGTCGCAGCACTGGTGGCCGGTGGGGCATGCTGTGAGGCAGCAGTTGCCGCAGTGAAACACGCCGCTGCGCAGGTTGCGACAACGGGAAACAACGGCGAAACAACCGGATGAGGGGTTGGGGTGAGGGGAGGGGAGGGGAGGGGAAGGGGAGGGGAAAGGGGAAGAGCCACGTGCGGTGAGGCAGCAGTTGCCGCAGAGAAACACGCCGCTTCGTAGGTTGCGGCAGGCGACTGGTGGGGAAAGGGTAAAAGGATAGTTGGAATCACGCGCTGTGAGAGGGACACGCGGTGAGGCAATCCCCACAGTGAAACACGCCGCTGCGTGGATCGCGGCGGGCGCGACTGGTGGTGGTGACACAGGACGGGGGGAGCGGATTACCGGGGGAGGCGAAGTGTCCCCCAAATAAACAAGATATTGAGAAGAAAAGCAGGGAAGCAAGCGAGACGAGAGACAAAACCGGCGCGGTGTACTCACCCGCAGCAGACGTCGAAACCGGGGTTCTCCTTAGCGAAGACGAGGCACACGGTCTGGTTGCCCAGGCACTTCTGCCCGCGCTTCAAGTGATGCCCCACGCCCGACGGGTGATGCCCGAACAGAAACGACCCGTCCGCCCTTTGCGGGTGGTGCCCGAACAGATACGACCCGTCCGGCTTCCGCGGGTGGTGCCCTCCGCCGAACACTCTCTGCAAGCCGCCGCCGCCGAAGCCGTTCGCGCCCGCCGCGCCCGCCGCGCTGTAGCGATCCCCGCCGCCACTTTCCCCGCCCCCGCCCCCGGCGGCGCCCGCGCCCGCGCCAAAAACGTGATGCCCTGCAGTGCCTGTATGATGGCCCAGGTGCGGATGGTGCCCTTTGTACGGCCCGTGCATGCCCTTGGGAATGTCGAACGACCCCTTGGGAATGCCGAACCCCTGCGGCTCGCTGGTGGTGGTGTCGCCTCCGGCGCTAATCGCACCCGTCGATTTGGTGGTTGCGGTCTGACGGTGGTGGCCTAGGTTCGGATGCCCGCCCGTCTTCGTGGAAGGTTCGGTCTGGACTTCGGCCGCCCTGCGGCGGTTAAAGAGGGCGCTTCGGAGAGAGGAGACGGCGGAAGAGACGGCGGAAGAGACGGCGGAAGATGCGGCGGAGGACGCGGCGAGGAAGGAGGGGAACGGAAAGCGCCTCTTACCGCCACTTCCGCCGCCAGGATTGGCGAAGCGGGAGCTTTGGGAAAAGGAGGAGGGAGATGCGAAGGGAAGCTTCTTAGGCGAGCGTATTCGGATCTTAAAGAGCTTCGGCTTGCCCCTGCTGCCACGTGGACGCGGTATATCCGGGAGGAGATCGTCTGACGTGGCTAAGGAGTAGGAGGGTAGGAGGAATAGGATGCATATACTCGATAGTACTAGCGCCGCTACAAGACCTCTAAGCGTCTTCATGGCTTCCACTTCCGATGAAGTTGAAACCTCGAAAGGGCTAGTCTCCCGGAGACGCTAATGCATCACTCGCACTTGGCTTTTCGGAGTCTGTGTCACAGCAACAAGAAGTTAATTAACACTTATAAGGCGTCTCAAAGTACTAAAGACAGTGTAGGTATGCAGGTGTAGGTATACACTATCGACCGGCTCGTTGGCTGGCTGACTGCGTCGGTGTGCAGCTCTCTGTGCGTTGCTCACGTTGCAACCTCGCCATAGCTCACGCTGCTCCCTTGCGACGTCTGGATAAAGTCAAGAGTTACTATTCCTGTAAGCGCTGCTAGGTCGATCCATGGCCGCTTTGCTGGACACACTAGTGGGCTCCTCTCGACGGCCTGGACTCAACGGCTGCTCGTGCTCACTCCCCTAAATGGCCGGTGGTGAGAAATCTATGAGGTGGCTAGTCCAGTGTTTGAACTGTTGCGGTTCTTCGGCCGGTGGGATAGCTATGAGCGGGTACACTAGTCGACAGCTGGAGGCACCTGGTAGCTTAGGGCCTTTGCCTCGACTTTCACTTCCTGCTCTAGTTCGGAGTCACGCGACTGGAACGTTGCCGCCTGTTGAGGCTCGAAGGAAACGGAAGCCGGCTCGAGAAGGCTGAATATGGTTACTAGTCGGCCACTGGAGGCACCCGGTATCTGAGGACCCGGTATATGGCACCCGGTAACTGAGGACCTCTGCCGCGGCTTCACTTTCTGCTCTAGTTCCGGTTTCTCGACTGCACACGACTAGGCGTTGCCTGCTGAGGCTGAAGGGAAACGGAAGCCGGCTCAAGAAGAAGGTACTAGTCGACAGCTGGAGGCACCCGGTACCTGAGGACCTTTGTCTCGGACCGTTGCCTGCTGAGGCTCTAAGGAAGCGGAAGAAGGCTCCAGAAGGCTGAACGATGCGGTTGGTTCTGCTAGAGAATCTCGAGGTTAGGTCTCCTCGCTTGCCCAGGGTTGCTTTGAGCGGTACGCCGCGATGCAAAACACGCTCGCTCGCAAGGGTGGGTGGGTGGTGGTGCTGTGCTGTGCTGCCTGCAACGATCGTGCGCTGCGTGCTGGGTTGTCGTTTACTTGGCAACAGCTATTGGGTGGGGATCTGCTCGACCTGCGCTAGTCGTGGTAGCGGGGGGCTAAGCTTGGGCGCGAATGAAGAAAAGGTACGAAATAGTGATGATGGGGGGATATGCCGAGGAAGGCAGTACGGCAATCGTAGGGGGCTTTGACTTCGCAGGCTGGGGTGGGGGAGTACGGGGAAGGGAGCTCGTTGGTTGAAGGTGGCGAGTGGAAGGGAGAGGAACGTTCAATCAAGAAAGATGCAGGCAAACTGCAATTCTTGCTGTTCGGCTCGGTTCGGCACAACATGTCCCAAATGACTGTTGACAAATGTGCAATTTCATACATTTTGCGCGGAATGCGGTTCGAGAATTGCAGAGGCACGACGCGATTCGCTTGAGCGGTTTGGGAAGTCGAGCTGAGGTGGCTCTACTTTGAGACGTCGATATTTTGGAGCCGTTGGCAACCGAAGACACGTGGCATTGCTGCTGGAGGGCCGATGCCCACGAACAGCGACGGCTGAGCGGCAAGGAGATGGTTGTCGACGGCAAGATCGTCGGTTCGTGCTTGAATTGCCTGAGAGGAGCACGTGCGAAAGGTTTCAAAGGTTTGGCGACTGACAATCGCAGGTTCGCAGCCAACCACCTCCTGCACCGGCATAATTTTCAAAAATTGCGAAACTCCCCCGTGTTACAAACCTTCTATTTCCTTCTCCTGATTAAATCTATAAGAAGCCAAGCACTGCAAACGAACCAATAGCGTACATCACAATCAAGCCAAAGCCTCTAACGCGGATGCTTAGGCATTCCTCTCACTCAGTTCTCTAGTGCCAGGAGAGGGAGCAGCACTTGTGCCGCGTCCTAGGGTCGTCCAGTGTCCCGAGAGGAAATAAGAGGGAAGCCGCATTTCTTACTAATCCTGGTCAAACGCCGGGCGAGTCGAAATGCTAGGTCTTGCTGCTACCGGCGTCTCATCGACGCTTCCTCCGCGAATCTCGTCTTGCCAGCGATCTGACGTGTCATGCGGATTACAGCTTCAGTCCGACGTGTCGAGAGCGTCATTATCCGTTTCGCCCGGCGTTGCCATTTCTGGCAATGCGCTCAGCGACGGGCGTATCGTAGGGTTACCATCGCCCTCGATTCGCACTCGGCGTAGTTCGCGAAAAGGGTCTTCCGCGCAGTATACGTCAACTTCTCAACGATGGAAACCGTCTACGCATTCGCGACGCCAAGGAAAGAGCTACGCACCAGCAGCAGCAGCCGCTGCTGCCGGGGCTGGATCGTCTGACGACTCAGACGAGCCCGTTTTTATTTTCACGAATCCGCGACAGTCGCCAGACGTCGCTCAGGTGCTTCGCCACGATTCGCGCGCCTCCGCCGCGGCGGCCGCCGCTACCGCTGCTGCTGCCGCCGCCGCTGCCGCCGCCGCCGCGGACAATGTAGCCACGGCCACGCAGGACGCTCTAGAGGCCGGAGCTTCCTCCGCGATCGGCGCCGCGAGCGGCGGGCCCGGGGGGAGCCGGGCAAGCGGGCAGACGACGAGCGCTCAAGCGGCGGCCGTGGATCAGCTTCTAACGAGACCGCCCACGCGACCAGTGCCCATCGTGGCGGCTGACCACAAGAGCGGTATGTTACGGTGGAAATGGGTAATAAGGGTATGTGAGGGTCAAGCGGCAGCCGTGGATCAGCTACTAACGAGACCGCCCACGCGACCAGTGCATATCGTTCAAGCGGACCATAAGAGCGGTAAGACGGAGGAGAGAACATGGCAGGGGGTGAGAGAGTCGGAGGGATACTAGCGAATCAGCTACTAACGAGACCACCCGCGCGACCAGTGCCCATAGTGCCGGATTACCATCAGAGCGATATGAGTCTAGTTTTACCTTAAAAAATATGAGCCTAAAAAATAGTGCCGGATTACCATAAGAGCGATATGAGTGGAGGATTAACGGGACGGGGGTTGAAGAAGGGAGGGTGGGTTGGGGGGGGGGGGGGGGGGGAGAGGGAGAATGGGGGGAGGGGAGAGAATGGGGGGAATGGGTGCGGATAGGGGGGACGCGGAATGTAGGACTGCGGATAGGGGGGACGCGGAATGTAGGACTGCGGATAGGGGGGATGCGGAAAAAGCGGGTGGGGGAGCATCCCCCACTTCCCCAAGGTTGGCGGAGCAGAGGGGAGAACGGCGAGCAGGGGCCGTAGGTGATACACCCACTTATAGCAAGGAGGTTGGCGGAGCAGAGGGGGGAGGGAGAGGGGGGGGAGGGCGGGGAGGGTTTGAGTCGAGTCAAAAATCACCTGGGGAGCAGGGAGGGGGGAGCAGGGAGGGGGGAGCAGGGAGGGGGGAGCAGGGAGGGGGGAGCAGGGACCGGAGGTGATACACACACCTGCAGCACGGAGGTTGGCGGGGAAGAGGGGGGAGGGGGGAGCAGGGACCGAGCGCGAACGGGGCGTAAGGGGAGGGATGGAACGAGAGGAGGATCCGCAGAAAGGGTTTAGGGTTTGGGGTTGAGGGGGAGAGGGTGAAGGGAGCTCGGGGAGGCGCAGCACTGGCAGCGCTCAGCTGGGGCGGCTAAACAGGGCCTTAAGGTCACTCTTGATTCGACTCAAAAGAGGGAGTGAGGGGAGCACGGGGAGATACAGTACTGGCAGCGCTCAGCTGGGCCGGCTGGAAGGGCTTTAAGTTGACTTTTGAGTCGACTCAAGAGAGGGAGTGAGGGTAGCACGGGGAGGCGCAGTACTGGCAGCTTCTGACGTGGGACGGGCGGGAGGGTTTTAGTGTCAGGGTCTATTTTTTAGGCGCCTCAAAAATAGACTCCTCATGGCGGGCGGGAGGGTTTTAGTGTCAGGGTTTAGGGCTCCGTGTGTGAACTCAAGTAAGGGTGAAATCACTTCTGCAGGCCTCCTCTCCACCCATTCCCCAACCCCCCCCCCCCCCCCCCCCCTTCCGCCCCCCCTTTTTTCAGGCTATGTGGTGCCCAATGCCCAATGCCCAATGCCCAATGCCCAATGCCCAATGCCCAATGCCCAATGCCCAATGCCGGCTAGAGCACATACTCAACCGCCTCATCGGGCTGTTTCCTCCTTCCCTTCCAATCCCCCCCCTCTCCCCCCCCTCTCTCCCCCCTCTCCCCCCCTCTTCCCCCCCTCTTCCCCCCTCTCTTCCCCCCTTCCCCCCCTCTCACCCCCCCTTCCCCCTCCCCCCTTCCTCCTCTCCTCCGCCACCCCTCTTCAGGCTACGTGGCGCTGATAGGGCAGCCCAACGCGGGCAAGAGCACGCTGCTGAACCGCCTCATCGGGCAGAAGCTCTCCATCGTCACGCAGAAGCCGCAGACCACCCGCCACCGCATCCTGGGGCTTGTGTCCAGCAGCGGTTACCAGGTGGGTGTGGGGTCCCGTGGGCCTCTTGGTGCGTATGTCCGCCTGTCTGTCTCTCCCTTCTCTGCAGATCATCCTGGACGACATGCCAGGGGTGCTGTCCAACTCTAAGCACAAGCCGGGCGAGCTCGTGATGCACTCAGTCGGCGTGCCTTGCACCCTTCCCCCCCTCTGTTCCACTCTTCCACGCTTCGCCGGCTGTCCCTTGCCCTTTTCGGATCATTCGCTATGATGCACCCGGGGTGCTGTCCAACTCTAAGCACAAGCCGGACGAGCTCGTGATGCAGTGGGTGCATTCTTCCACCCTTCTGTCCCTTCGCCCCTTCCCCTCTTGACGAGCTGAACGAGCTCATGATGCCATTCAGCATGATGCACCCGGGGTGCTGTCCAACTCTAAGCACAAGCCGGACGAGCTCGTGATGCAGTGGGTGCATTCTTCCACCCTTCTGTCCCTTCGCCCCTTCCCCTCTTGACGAGCTGAACGAGCTCATGATGCCATTCAGCATGATGCACCCGGGGTGCTGTCCAACTCTAAGCACAAGCCGGACGAGCTCGTGATGCAGTGGGTGCATTCTTCCACCCTTCTGTCCCTTCGCCCCTTCCCCTCTTGACGAGCTGAACGAGCTCATGATGCCATTCAGCATGATGCACCCGGGGTGCTGTCCAACTCTAAGCACAAGCCGGACGAGCTCGTGATGCAGTGGGTGCATTCTTCCACCCTTCTGTCCCTTCGCCCCTTCCCCTCTTGACGAGCTGAACGAGCTCATGATGCCATTCAGCATGATGCACCCGGGGTGCTGTCCAACTCTAAGCACAAGCCGGACGAGCTCGTTCATCATCCCCTCTTGTTGTCTATGTCCATCTGTCCCTCTCTCGCTCCCTCCTCTGCAGATCATTCTCCACGTCACCCCAGGGGTGCTCTCCAACTACAAGCACCAGCTGGACGCGAGCTCATGATGCAGTCGCTCACGAGCTCATGAAGCTCCGCTGTCCCCTCTCTTTGCCTGTCTCCGCCCGCCCCTCCCTTCTCTGCAGATTATTCTGTACGACACGCCCGGGGTGCTGTCCAACTACAAGCACAAGCTGGATGAGCTCATGATGCAGTCGGTGCGCACGGCTACTGTGAACGCGGACGCTGTTGTACTCGTTATAGACATCACCCAGGCCCCTCAAGAGGTGCGCTCCTCCCTACCTACCCCCTCATCGACTCATTATCAGCTGATGAAAAGAAGTTACCTTTCCGTCTGTTTAGCCTTGAGATGACAGACGCGTCTCAAAAGCAGACTTTTGAGGTGCCTAAGAAAAACGGACTGACCCTTGCTTCTGTGGAATCCCGGCTCCTGAGAAATCCACGTGATAGAAGTTCAGTTTTGAGACGTCTGACTCAGAACAAGGCTGACCTTCCCTCCGTCCGACATCCATGGAACAGGACTGACCTTCGCTCTGTTGACTTTTGAGTTGACTAGAAAATCACCTCGTTTTAGTTTTGAGATGTCTGACCCGACCTTTGCTCAGGATAGTTTCAGGTGTATGCAATCCGCGTGCAATCAGCTTGTCCAGGTGTATGCATGAGGAGTCTATTTTTGAGGCGCCTCAAAAATAGACTCGTCAGCTTGTACAGGTGTATGCAATCCTCGCTCCGTGCGGAAAAACCTCAAAAGTCGATAAGCCTGTGTCGGTCCTCTTGTGTTCCCCATGCAGGGTTGCAGATAAAAGATTCACTTTTTTTAAATAATAATTCTTGAGATACATATTTGATCCTGTTATATGTATCTCCTTCCCCACTTCTCCCCTAACTGTTGGGTGTATTATGTCTTGGAGTAACTTCTTATTTCCTTTCTCCGATGCAGGTAGCGAAGCTGCTACTAGAGGGGATGGAGAGCGCAGTGGTCCAGAAGAAGCCGACCCTTATCGTGCTGAACAAAAAAGACTCTCTGAAGCCGGGGGAGATCGCTAAGAAGCTCCAGGTAACACGCACATTACTCAAGGTAACACACACATCACTCAAGGTAACACACACACTACTCAAGTCAAGGTAACACACACATTACTCAAGGTAACACACACACTACTCAAGTCAAGGTAACACACGCATTGCCCACCTTTCGCCTGCCCACTTCTCTCCCGCCCACCTTCCCCCCTATATACTCCGACCTACCTAACTGGTGTTCCATCGGACCCTTCCCCCCTATACACTCCTACCAGTGGTACCAGGAGGCGGTGGCAGCAGACGGGCACCAGGTGGTTGCACTGAGCGCCAAGAGGGGCGACGGCGTGGATGGCTTGCTGGCGTGGATGCTGGACAACATCCCCCAGGGGCCTGCCTACTACCCCAAGGTGCGTGCACGGTCACAGACACCTACCTATGAAGCACGGCTCAGAGAAGATGGCACCTCATACAAGAGGGGCGATGGCGTGGATGGGCTACTGGTGTGGATGCTGGACAACATACCACAGGGGCCTGCCTACTACTACCCCAAGGTATGGGCTGACTCGAGGTGCCATTTGCTTGGGAAGATGCTACCAAGAGGGGCAATGGCGTGGATGGGGTGCAGGCATGGATGCTGGACAATATACCACAGGGACGCGCGTATTATCCTAAGGTGCTCAAAGCGTGGATCCCGAAACCCCCAGGACCAAAATCTGGTGGCCATTTTGGCTGGGCTTCAAAAACCTAGTTTTTTATCTCGGGGTTTTTTTGGATGGCTTGCTGGCGTGGATGCTGGACAGCATCCCCCAGGGGCCCGCTTGTTATCCCAAGGTGAGTGCACAGTCACAGACACCTACCCATGAAGCACGGCTGAGAGAAGATGCCACCTCATACAAGAGGGGCGACGGGGTGGATGAGCTGCTGGCGTGGATGCTCGACAACATCCCCCCGGAGCCCGCTTATTATCCCAAGGTGAGTGCTGATTCTATTCAAAAGGTGGTTGCTTGGGAAGATGCTCCCTCACACAAGAGGGGCGATGGCGTGTATAGGCTGCTGGCGTGGATGCTCGATAACATTCCGCAGGGGTGCTTTCTAGCCCAAGGTGACTGCTCAGTCAAAGTTTTCAAAGCCCAAGGTGACTGCTCAGTCAAAGTTTTCAATGCCCAAGGTGGTTGTTTGGGCGATGGCGTGGATAGGCTGCTGGCATGAATGCTGGTAAGCCTGCAAACAAATAGCACTGGTTTCGGATTCGTATTCGGTATTCGACAAATATCAAATACAAAACGAATCTGACATCCTGAAGCTATTCGGCAGTATTCGACTCTCAAATATTCGCAAGTTCCGAATATTCGACGCTCAAATATTCGATATTCGGGGAAATATTCGTATTCGTGTGAGCCTACCATTCATCTCCCCGACTCCCCTTTCCTCACAAAATCAGCAGCGCAGTATAAGCAAAATCGGTGAAATCTGAAGGTCGCGCAATTGGCTGATTGCGGCCTCCATAAAACCAATCAATCGTGGACAAAAACGAAAACAGGATTCTTGAGCGTGACATGTTGTTCCTTAAATAACCTGCCAAAATCATAGCTACTTCGACAATATGCCAGGAGTGGAAGTGATTGGGGAGGGGGGTAATAGACTATCAAGGTTAGAGGGGCTATTTCTATTTCGGTCTTTGGTGGGAAGCCCTAGAAGACACCCGAAACACTGTTCTGACCACCTATTCGTATTCGATTCCGTATTCGTCGCAAAACCGAATATTCGAACCGTATTCGTATTCGAATAGGAAGTGGTATTCGATCAAATACGAAAACACACAAGTATTCGACAAATACTATTTTTTTCCTGCCGTATTCGATACCGTATTCGTTTTTGCAGGCTTAAATGCTGGACAACATGCCACACCCCATGCCACACCCCATGCCACACCCCATGCCACACCCCATGCCACACCCCATGCCACACCCCATGCCATACCCCATGCCGCACCCCATGCCATACCCCATGCCACACCCCATGCCACACCCTATGCCACACCCCATGCCACACCCCATGCCACACCCCATGCCACACCCCATGCCACACCCTATGCCACACCCCATGCCACACCCCATGCCACACCCCATGCCACACCCCATGCCACACCCCATGCCACACCCCATGCCACACCCCATGCCACACCCCATGCCAAACCCCATGCCACACCCCATGCCACACCCCATGCCACACCCTGTGCCACACGCCACACGCCACATCCACACCATCCCATGCCGTGGTGGGCGAGCTGCCCGAGTGGTTCTTCTTGGCGGAATCCGTGAGGGAGAAGCACTTTGAGATCGCGTTCTGGGGTTTGGCCGACGACGAAATTTAGCCATCCGACACGCCATGTAAGCGTTAGCTTGGCCAAAGTTGCGACTTTGGGTGGCAAAAGTTGGGGTTGGTGAACTTTGGCCTAGTGCGGTGCCACGTCACATCACAGGCGAAAGTTTTTGCGTCGTGTTCTCGACATTTTGTGAACGGATGGGCGTCGCGCCAAATCAGAGTGTTTGCGAGCGATATAACGACGTGGGACGAAACCCCCGAAACGTCACATCTCCCAGCAACTCCTGACGGGCAACTTCCGGAGAATTGTGGAAGAGTTGTCTTGCAAAACTCCCACCAAATTCCCACCAAAAACTAGAGTTAAAACCATTAAGCCAACCAAGTAGTTCAACGGTGGAAAGGTTGGTTGGGTAGAAATATGGGATTGGCTGTCAATTAGTACTCCCTTAGAACTCCGAACCAGAAGTTGTTCTTTTGGTACATTTGGAACGCGGGTTTTAACAGCATAGCTGCAGCAGTGGGTGTCGATGAAGGCTCTGTGGGCTACGAGGGGGTCTTGATGAAGGCTTTGGTGAAGAAAAATGGAGCATTCGCAGTTTGACGGCTGTTCGTGCGTCGGGCAGGATGGTGCTGCTTTCTTGGCTCGGTCGACGTCACATTTCCTTAGCGTGGCCGGCCAAGTCTGCAGCAACCAGGTTTTGTCCTTGGTCGCAGCTGTTCATGGACCCCCGTCGCACGAAATCTGGCCACTAAGATTTTGTTGGCTAAAGTTCTAGCCACACGGCTAAACATTGAAATGTGCAATTCCGACGTGGCGAGTCGCATGGCTAAACTTCGTCATCAGCCAAACTTCCAGAACGCAGCCTGAGGCTCCTTGCACGCCCATGCTCACACCTTCCCTTCCCATACCACTAATCCCCTTGCCCACCCCCACCCCCCCCCACCAGGACATGGTGAGCGAGCTGCCGGAGCGGTTTTTCGTGGTGGAGATGGTGAAGGAGAAGAGGCGCCACAAAATACCACACAAGAACCATTCCAAACCGTTTCACAGCATACCATCCCATACCGCTCCATACCCCCTCCACAACAGGACGTGGTGAGCGAGCTGCCAGAGCGGTTCTTTGTGGCGGAGATTTTGAGGGAGAAGCACTTTGAGGATCCTCGCATGTCCATACCCACACCTTCCCACACCTTCCCACACCTTTCCATGCCACCATACCCACCAGGACGTGGTGAGCGAGCTGCCGGAGCGGTTCTTCGTGGCAGAGATAGTGAGGGAGAAGATTCTGCTGCAGTATGGGCAGGAGGTGCCGTACGCCTGCCAGGTGCGGTGCTGTGCGGTTTTAATGGGTGGGGCATGGGGTATGGGCCATGAGGGTAATGGGGGGTAATGCGGTTGGGATAGTGAGGGGGAAAATACTGCAGCAGTACGGGCAGGAGGTGCCGTATGCCTGCCAGGTGCGGTGGGGGCATGGGGTTATGGGGTTACGGGGTTATGGGGTTATGGGGTCATGGGGGCATGGGATAATGGGGGTGATGGAGTCATGGGGGTTCGGGGGGTCAGGGGGGTCATGGGGTTATGGAGTCATGGGGCATGGGTTAGGGAGAGGACTCTTCTGCAGTATGCACAGCAGGTGCCGTATGCCTGCCAGGTACGGTGATGTGCGGTTCCAATGGGTGGGGCATGGGGCATTCGAGCACGGGGCAAGGAGCATGGGGCGTGAGGCATGGGATGGTGAGGGAATCGATGCTGCAGTATGGGCAGGAGGTGCTGTATGCATGTCAGGTACGGTGAGGGCGATTAGGCGTTCATGGGTCATGCTGCATGCAGCATGTGATTGTGAGGGAGAAGATTGTGCAGCACAATATGGTGCAGCATGCTGCATGCAGCATATGGTGATGTCTACCATGTCGTATAATATGCACAATATGCACAATATGTACAATATGTACAATATGCTACATGCACAATATGTATGCTGCATGCAGCATATGGTGATGTCTACCATGTCGTATAATATGCACAATATGCACAATATGTACAATATGTACAATATGCTACATGCACAATATGTATGCTGCATGCAGCATATGGCGATGTCTACCATGTCGTATAATATGCACAATATGCACAATATGTACAATATGTACAATATGCTACATGCACAATATGTATGCTGCATGCAGCATATGGCGATGTCTACCATGTCGTATAATATGCACAATATGCACAATATGTACAATATGTACAATATGTACAATATGCTACATGCACAATATGTATGCTGCATGCAGCATATGGCGATGTCTACCATGTCGTATAATATGCACAATATGCACAATATGTACAATATGTACAATATGCTACATGCACAATATGTATGCTGCATGCAGCATATGGCGATGTCTACCATGTCGTATAATATGCACAATATGCACAATATGTACAATATGTACAATATGCTACATGCACAATATGTATGCTGCATGCAGCATATGGCGATGTCTACCATGTCTCTCAAGTTCTGAGGCGCTTCAGTACTGAAGCCTCAGTACTGATGGCGTGGCATGGCGTGGCATAACCTGTTGTTCTTTGCTAATGTGATGGCGTGGCTCTGATGGCGTGGCATGGCATGGCATGGCGTGGCATGGCATGGCAGGTGACAGTGAGGGCGTTCAGGGAGAGGGAAGGCGCCAAGGACTACATCAGCTTGGACATCATGGTGGAGAGAGACAGCCAGAAGGCCATTCTGCTGGGCAAGGTGCGCTGTGACGCTACAGTGGTATGTGCATGCATGTGGGTAGCAGCTAGAGGGCATGGGGCGAAGGACTACATCAGTTTGGACATCATGGTGGAGAGAGACAGCCAGAAGGCCATTCTGCTGGGCAAGGTGCGTGAGTCGTGAAGCCACAGAGGTAAGTGCATGTGAAGTGAAGGAAGCGGGGAGGGGTTGAAAGGAACAGCCAGAAAGCCATTCTGCTGGGGAAGATGCCCTGGGCTTGGGCTTAGGAGTCCTCTCTTTTGCGGGTTGCATGCAGACAGAGGCTAGTTTTTGAGGCGCCTCAAAACTAGAACGTGCCCTGGGCTTAGGAGTCCTCTCTTTTGTGGGTTGCATTGCATGCATACAGAGGGGTCCTGGCTTGCCGTTGATAACAAGTCATCAATAGCATTCTTTTTTTAGTGAACAGCTGTTCTTTCTTCTTCAACATCCCCTCTGGCCCCTTTGTTCGACAACCGGTTCAATTCAACCCCTATGGCCTGTCATGCACCGATCACCAGGAAGGCGAGGCGTTGACTTTTGAGACAACTCAAAAGACAACCCCTCTGGTTTCTTTGTTCGACAACCGGTTCAACCCCTATGGCCTGTCATGCACCGATCATCAGGAAGGCGAGGCGTTGACTTTTGAGACGACTCAAAAGACAACCCCTCTGGTCTCTTTGTTCGACAACCGGTTCAACCCCTATGGCCTGTCATGCACCGATCATCAGGAAGGCGAGGCGTTGACTTTTGAGACGACTCAAAAGACAACCCCTCTGGCCTCTTTGTTCGACAACCCTTTCAATCCCGCCTTTTGTGCCCCGAGCACTTTTTAACTCTCTCATGCACCACCCACCAGGAAGGCAAGGCGTTGAAGGCGCTGGCAACGGCAGCTCGAATCGACATTGAGGAGTTCCTGGGGCGACAGGTGTTCCTGGAGGTGAGCAGTGGTTCTGGAGGTGAGGGTTAGGGTTTGGCAGTGGAGTTAGGGATGGAAGAGAGGTCTTGACCAAGGATCGACATTGAGGAGTTCCTGGAGGTGAGAGGTGGTTCTGGAGGTGAGAGGTGGTTTCTGGAGTTGAGAGGTGTTTCTGGAGGTGAGAGGTGGTTCTGGAGTCGAGAGGTGTTTCTGGAGGTGAGAGGTGGTTCTGGAGGTGAGAGATAGGGATGGGTAGTGGGGTTTACAACGGATTATGTGGCTTAGGCTGGAAGGGGGGGGGGGGGGGGGTTTGTGCACAAGGGAATTGGAGGAGTTCCTTGGGGAGAGGTGTGTTTCTTTTCTAGCGAGGTGACTTCTTAGTCGACACGAAAGTCATCTCATTTGAGGAGTTCCTGGGGAGAGGTGTGTTTCTAGCGGTGGTGTGCATATCGGCAGTGGGGGTTCCGTCAGGCATGGAGCTGGGAGAGCTGCCTTCAGCTAGGAAGTTTGAAGGAGAAGATTGAGGACAATCAACTGGGTATGACAGAGGTCTCAACTCACCCAATTCCCTCTTTCTCTCCCCCCCCCTCCCCCCCGCCCCCTCAGATCCGAGTGAAGGTGAAGGAGAAGTGGAGGCAGGACGAGACCCTGCTGAGGGAGTATGGGCTTGACGTGCGCAAGAGAGGCTCCTGGTACTGAAGCGGTTAGACTATGATGGTGTGGTGTTGGTAGTGTTGCGTGTTACATGTACTGATGTTTTCGATGCAAGGGCCTTGTTTGTTACTGAAGTCAGCCTACCACGGAGAGTATCCTTAAGTGTTGGATGCAATATTGTACTGGTGTGCTTCGTATTTGAAAACAGACTGCAAGTAGTGGCACACTGGCGTTGGCCGCCATTAATTTCTGTTTTCATCCAAGACAAGACAGGCTTTTCTACTCTCCAAGACCAGGGTGAGAATAACATCTGTACATTTATGGGCCCTTTACATCTGTACAACTATGGGCCCTTAACATCTGTACAACTACGGGCCCTGTCATTCTATGGATACATTCAGAGGATTCTCTTGGAACCTATTTTTGAGGCACCTAAAAAATAGACTCCCCTGCAGGGCTGACGTTTCAAAAAAAGGCACTCTGATTTTGCCCCCCAAAAATTTTCCCGAGTCTGAAGGGCCATTTTTCGAAATTTCGCTACTCTGAAATCTCTGTGTCCAAAAGTCAACGAGTCTGAAATACTCAGGGTTCAGAATGTCGACTCAGAGTCCTGCACGCAAGTCGAAAACTTATATTTCCAGAGTTCACACCAGACCCCACGATTGGTTTTAGGGTACTAAGATTCATAAGCTTTTCGTCAAGAAAATTTACGTGGATTGATAAGTGTTTCATAGCAAAAGTTTGCCTTTTCATTAGGGCGTGTGAGAAAAAAAAAACTGATTTGGCAACTAGGAGAGAGGATTTCACTTTTTTTTAACAAGAGTAAATTCCGCATTCTAATAACAGTCGTTTCTGGTCAACTGAAATTCTATAAAAATGGGACGGTCACGATCGATTGCGATCGTTTCGACGTTTTTTAACCATTCGATGGTCACATGTGATAAACGTCCACGATCGATCAACCGGGGCGCTGCAATGGCGTGAAGTTTCTCCCATCGCCCAATTCCACAGCTTCCCGCCTGCACTCTGTTTCGATCCTCCCCCCTCCCCCTCCATTTTCGACCCCCCCCCCCCCCCTCCTCCCCCTCCGTTTCGCTTCCCCCCTCCCCTCCATTTCGCTTCCACGCTATCAGAATAATTGAATAATTGTAAAGTGAGAGTACACACAAATATATCTAAGTTTTGTATCCTCTAAGAGGTGACTCTATACAGTCTATAAAAATATGACAAATACACATGTTTGACACACCCCCTAGACTGCATAGGGGAATACCCTAAACAAGCAGCTCAGGGCGGCACTACTAGTCCAACCTCTGAGACAAGAGTCTGAGCGACCGGTCAGAAGGAGTACAGACAAGGCAAGCACAAGAGCAGGGCGGCACTACTAGTCCAGCCACTGGGAGAGGACACAAGTCCAGTCTGAGTATACATATAAAGGACAGTACAAAGTCAAGGTCCTAGCAAGTGAGAGGCTACAGGAACTAGACCAAGCTGTACACAGTGCCGCTGATGATCTTTAGGCGCAAGCGCCTTCGTAAAGATATCAGCCGTGTTGGCACCTGAGGCCAAGTGTACTACGCGAGCCAGTGCGGTGCAGTGCGGTGCAGTGCGGTGCAGTGCGGTGCAGTGCGGTACAGTGCGGTGCAGGGCGGCACGGAGCAGGGCGGGGTGGGGGGGGGGGGGGGGGGGGGGGGGGGGGGGGCGTACCAGTGAGGAGGACGGGGCCGGGGCTGGCCCGACTGGGCCGGGCGGGCGCGACGGGGCCGGGCTGATGCGACAGGGCCGGGACGGGGCGACGGGGCCGAGCGGGCGCGACGGGGCCGGGCTGGGGCGACGGGGCCGGGCGAGTGCGGCAGGGCCGGGCCGGTGCGACGGGGCCGGGCGAGCGGGACGGCGGCCGGGCTGGTGCGACGGGGCCGGGCGGCTGTGACGGGGCCGGGCAGGGTGCGACGGGGCCGGGCGGGTGCGACGGGGCCGGGCGGCTGCGACGGGGCCGGGCGAGCGCGACGGGCCGGGCAGGGTGCGACGGCGCCGGGCGGGCGCGACGGGGCCGGGCGGCGGCGACGGCGCCGGGCGGGCGCGACGGGGCCGGGCGGCGGCGACGGCGCCGGGCGGGCGCGACGGGGCCGGGCGGCGGCGACGGGGTCGGGCGGGCGCGACGGCGCCGGGCGGGCACGACGGGCCGGGCGGCGGCGACGGGTACGACGCGGCCGAGGAGGGTCGCTACGGGGCCCAGGAGGGGCACGACGGGGGGCCCAGGAGAGGCGCTACGAAGCCCAGGAGGGGCGCGACGAGGCCCAGGAGGGGCGCTACGGGGCCTGGGAGGGGCGCGACGGGGCCTGGGAGGGGCGCGACGGGGCCCAGGAGGGGCGCTACAGGGCCCAAGGAGGGCGCGACGGGGCCCAGGAGGGCGCTACGGGCCCAGGAGGGGCGCGACGGGGCCCAGGAGGGGCGCTACGGAGCCCAGGAGGGGCGCGAAAGAGCCCAGGAGGGGCGCTACGAGGCCTGGGAGGAGCGCGACGGGGCCCAGGAGGGGCGCTAGGGGGCCTGGGAGGAGCGCGACGGGGCCTGGGAGGGGCGCGACGGGGCCTGGGAGGGCGTTACAGGGCCCAGGAGGGGCGCTACGAAGCCCAGGAGGGGCGCGACGAGGCCCAGGAGGGGCGCTACGGGGCCCAGGAGGGGCGCGACGGGGCGCTACGGGGCCTGGGAGGAGCGCGACGGGGCCCAGGAGGGGCGCTAGAGGGACTGGGAGGGGCGCGACGGGGCCTGGGAGGGGCGCGACGGGGCCTGGGAGGGCGGTACAGGGCCCAGGAGGGGCGCTACGAAGCCCAGGAGGGGCGCGACGAGGCCCAGGAGGGGCGCTACGGGGCCCAGGAGGGGCGCGACGGGGCGCTACGGGACCTGGGAGGAGCGCGACGGGGCCCAGGAGGGGCGCTAGTGGGCCTGGGAGGAGCGCGACGGGGCCTGGGAGGGGCGCGACGGGGCCTGGCAGGGGCGCTACGAAGCCCAGGAGGGGCGCGACGGGGCCTGGCAGGGGCGCTACGAAGCCCAGGAGGGGCGCTACGGGGCCTGGGAGGAGCGCGATGGGGCCCAGGAGGGGCGCTAGGGGGCCTGGGAGGAGCGCGACGGGGCCTGGGAGGAGCGCGACGGGGCCCAGGAGGGCGCTAGGGGGCATGAGCGGAAGCGGTAGGTGGGGGGGGGGGGATCCTACCTACGCGTGATACCATATCAGAATAATTGAATAATTGTAAAGTGAGAGTACACACAAATATATCTAAGTTTTGTATCCTCTAAGAGGTGACTCTATACAGTCTATACAAACATGACAAATACACATGTTTGACACACGCCTCCCCTCCGTTTCGACCCCCCCCCCCCTCCCCTCCCCCCCCTCCCCTCCCCCCCCTCCCCTCCGTTTCGTTCCCCCCTCCCTCCCCTCCCCCCCCCCCTCCGTTTCGCTTCACCCCTCCCCCCGGTTTTGATTCCCCCTTTCCCCCTCGAATTCGATTCCCCATCCCCTCCTTTTCGAATTCTCCCCCTCAGGGCTTGTTTTTACACGATACAACGTCACGACACTTCGTATCAAAACTGTTATTGACGGGCAAATTTGACTGCAAAATCAGCAATGACACGAAGTTGCCTGAAAGTGTTGTGTTGGAAACAACACCCCCTCAATTGATCCGTGGCGTGGACAGTGTGATTTCTTAGAGTTAGTTTCACATCGTCTGAGAAATCAGGAAAAAAAAATCGCCAGCCAGATGAATGATTTTCTTGTTACCCCTTTTAGGAACTTCACAAAAGTCGGGTAATAAGTAGGATTCCGGGTTGCGGGGGTTTGTTGGAGGATTTTTTTTATGGTTGCAAGGGACTTAGCCGATTTTTTCGGGTTGCGGGAGCTGAGGGAGGGATATTTCTTGCTGTGGGGACTTAGCCGAAATTTCAGGGTCGCAGGAGGTGTGGGAGGGATGTGTCTGTCTGTGGGGACTTGGTCGAATTTCTGGGGCTGTGAGGGGAGTAGGGAAGAAATGTGCTGGGGGGAACTGTCTCTGGCTGCTAGGACTTAGCCGGATTTTTTAGGTTGCGGGGTGGGGTGTGTGTGAAAAGACTTGACTCTGGCCCTTGGGGAGTTAGACGAAATTTTTGGGTGAGGGCAGGTAGGTGCAGTATGTGTGTCTCAGGGTCCGTACGCGCTGCGCTCTGAAAACTCAGTATCCGCAAACTGCGAAGTCTGAAATTCTCAGGATTCAAAAACATATAACTCTGAAGGGTTCAGCATTCAGAAAATGGCAAGTCTGAAAAATCAGGATCGGCAAAAAAATAGGTCTGAAATTTCAGACAATCAGACTAAAATAGTCTGATAAAATCAGCCCTGCTCCCCTGTCATTCTACGGATACATTCAGGGGATTCTCTTGGAACCCCCAGTAGTTGATGCGTGCAGGTAATGCTGCCTTTTTGGCAAGAGACGCTTGGTCATTGACCTCTTTTCTCCCATGAATGTGCTTGTCATGCTCCCTCCCATCCCATAACTTCTGTTCGTCCGCTCTACTCTCCTCAGCATCCGCTACCTCCAGGACGGTTGGCTGACCATCCTCTCTAGGTTCATCCGAATCATCCTCTTCTCCAGCGTGAGCCATGCTACTACTACTCATGGGCCTCTTGAGAAAATCCTGCTTCTGCTCTGCCATGCGCTCGTACTGGTAACCCTGCAGTGATGCTGCTGCGTCCTCCCTGGAGTCATCTTCATTATCACTGGTGCCTATTCCAGCCAGGTTGACGTCATCTTTGCCTGTGCCGACTTCATCTTCACTCCTGCTGACGTCATCGTAGTCCCAATCCCCAAATTTCTGGGATCTGACTGCTGTCCTGGGTCGCATAGTTTCTCCCATTCCATCATCTGCTGCATTATCCCCGTGATCACCATCCTCTTTATAGTCTTCATCTGTATCAGCTTGTATACCCGATGCCTGATCCATAGTTCCTCTGCTAGGCATTCCCATCCGTCTCAATCTTCCTCCTCTCTCCTTGGGCACTCGCCATTCCACAAGCTCAGACAAGTCCTCCTCATCATTTTCTCCTGAAATTTCTCCTGGCATTTCTCCTGAATTGTCACGTGATTCTCCCACCAACTCTTCAGAGTAAAACGGCGGACTCTTCTTCACACCATCCTCCTCCCTCTCACCTTCTCCTGATTCAGAAAGAGCATTTTCGTCCAACGAGGTGTCCGGGTAATTCGTCAATGCGTCACTGAGACGGCCATTTACGTCATAAAGCGGGTTATGCTTCGGATCTCCACGTGAGTCGATACTCTCCTTACGATAAACCGGTATTATCGCTTCCCAGTCTATTTCTCCCGGAAGAAACTCCAGATCAATCTCCTCCATCCTCGTTGACGCCACGCCATCACCCGGTAGAGAAAGCTCAGCAATCTCAACTGAATCCAACGGCTCAGAACCCCTCACAGGTTTCATCTGACCAGGCGTTTTACCTAACGCTCTCCTTCCTTGCCTCCAGGCTGTTGCTCCGACCCCTAGTCTCTCCCATTCCTGCGCTTCATCACTGAAATATTGAATCTTGGGGGAGACTTTACGGTGAACAAGGTGGAAATAGCGAGCCATTGTGGCAGTGGCTAGGAGGGTCGTAACAAGAAGGGCGATACTCAAAGGACTGGCCATTTACAACGATAACCACGCAAGAACAGAGCAGCCGACTAAATAGTAAGACCGCCTTCGATCGAACTTCGGCATGGCTGTTCACAGGCTCAACGAAGAAATACTTTCCCTCGGGATTGTCCATGGCGGCCGTCGAATGAGGTTGGCGAAGCAGCATGGACTAATAAATTGAAGCTTTGAAGTTGACGCTTCGCGACACATTCCTAGGCGACGAAAAAATCGCGGACATCGTAAGGAGGGACACCCATGGGGGGCAAAGGTGATCAGCCAAATGAGATGTTCGGTCACATGTGGTCGGCGACCGTCGCCCACATGTGCAAATAGTTGCCATCATTCATCCAATGCGAGAACATTGCATACAAGACGGCTTTGATCTCTACAGTGCGGCAGGGTCGTGAATACAACCAGCTATGAATGAAGTATTAAAAACGTTTCAAGATAGCTCCATCTAAACAGCAAGTGCCGCAGCTTATTATCTAGGTGACATGACCTAAGAGTGGGCAACAGTTAACAGTTATCACGAATGTCCTTAAGCCCTGGCAATTTTCCAAGATCTAGTTTTGTGCATGAATGTTGAGCTTCTTTCTTGGCCATCCACTCACCGCAATGGGATCTCTCAACAAATAAAAACCTCACCCTCACGAAGTAGCTCCCTTCCCATCACATAAATGATCCCACTGACCTACAGACATCAAGAAAACTCCCTCTTCCCAACCTCCCATTCTCCAATCAGAACCCTAGCCCTAGCCCTGACTCAATCCTTCACAAACCCAACAGCAATGGAGTAAAAAGGTAACAGGGAAGGAAAAGGGACACGGACAAACGACGGAAGACGAGACGAGGAAGAAGAGAGGATGAGAGAGGGGCCAGAATGGGGAGGGGGACGAGACGGAGAAGTGACGGAGGTACAGCAAGGAAGAGGGAAAATAACTTGGAGGGCTGAGGCAGCGAGGAAACAAGGAAAGGAGGAAGCGAGGCGGGAAAAGGGAGAGCTTGAGGGGAAGAAAGGCGTTGAGTAAAGAAGGGTTCAGATGAAAAGGACAAGAACGAAGAGAAAGCGGGGGAGAAAAAATAGAGAGAGAGAGAGAGAGAGAGAGAGAGAGAGAGAGAGAGAGAGAGAGAGAGAGAGAGAGAGAGAGAGAGAGAGAGAGAGAGAGAGAGAGAGGAAGGAGAGGGAGAGGGGGAAGGGGAAGTGGAAGGGGAGGAATACGCTGAGTGCAGATGAAGTGTGAAAACGAGGTGGGAACGGAGAGTAAGTGAGCGGGAAGAAGAGAACAGCAGGCAAGAGAAGGTTGGACTAGGGTATACTGGACAGAAGACGGAAGACGAGCGAGCGCCCAGGCTGGCACAACAGGTTTCCCTATCGCTACCCCTACTTCCAATCACCCTAGGCTGGCCACTCGCTTGCCGTTCTCCCGAGCTCGAACATCGATCGTGGAAACCCAATGGAAAACCAATCCAACCACTCCTAACCCGGCGAAACCCTTACTACAGACGTCTCCGCTCTGGGCTACTCCGTACAGCTACCCAAAAAGGGTTACCTCGTCACGGACAAATTACTCACTACTCACCAACTCGTTTGCGCCTGCACGCGGATTACGTTCATCTCCTCCCCTTACTCAGTACCCCTCTATGCGTAATCTTGGTCTGAAATACCCCTCCTGCTGAACGCGCCTGACCACTTACTCCCCCTGCCTGCAACCTCGGCGTCATCCAGCCTTCCAACACTACGCTCTGCGATTCAAACCCTAGAAGGCCTAGCACCAGAGACGACAACTGTCTCCCAACTGTTAACTCTGGGGGACCCGACCTGCGCTGCGGATCCCCTATCCCAACCCCAGTCCAACCCCCTCGCCTCTTCTCTCCCCCACCTCTCCCTCACGCTGCATTTGCGTTCGTTGTGGGTGTGTGAAAACGGAAAAAGAAACACAAATGCGTAAGAGTACAATGCCCACCTTAGCTTGTTGCACTGACAACAGACATCGCGGCAGCAGCAGGTTCAGCAGCCAGTAGCAAGGGATATCTGTATCTTATCAGGAAATATGTACCCATTATGGAGGAACGCGTAACAAGCAAAGCAACCGACCAGTAGTCTACCTGGTAACCAGCCGATCAGCAGCCTTGAAAGCCTGTTCCTACTCCTGGATCCCTGAACGAACCGAAACGAAACCCTAGCCGCTGCCTGCCGATCCCGACCGCCGGTCTGACACGTCGTCTGACGCCTAGCCGGCAACTTTACGCCGTCAATTGCGCCGCTCCGCCGGCCTCCTTGATCCGCCGCTCCGCCAGCTTGCTGAACAGCTTCGCCTTGACGATCAACGGCTGCGACGGCAGCTCGCCGGCACCGAGCACCTTGAAGAACCCGAACTTGGTAACATCGATCACGGGAGCGGATCCCGCGCCGCTGGCCTGCTCCTTAATTTCAGCGGGAACCAGCGACCAGAGCTCGTTGAGGTTGATGTGTGGGCAGTGGAACTTGTTCTGCGACTTATGGAAGTAACGCATACCGACTTTACCGAAGTAACCCGGATGGTACTTGTCCATCATGATCCTGTGGTGGTGCATGCCTCCCGCGTTACCGCGACCGCCGGGATGCTTTCTGTGCTTGCCGATACGGCCATGGCCGGCGCTGACGTGGCCGCGCTTTTTGCGGTTCTTCCTCAGAGCGGTCGTCATGGTGAAAGGAGGAAAAGAGGGAAAGGTGTGGGAGGAGGGCTGCTGTGAAAAGGTGAAGGGAGGGAGGCTGGGGAGGTGGAAGAGGAAGGGCGGGAGGAGGGGGGATTCCAAGGCTACACTGGGGCCTCGAGCAGGGGAGGGGGGGCTGTGAGGCGGGCCAGGGGGTTTCCGGGGTGGCGGGTAAATGGGGCAAGCGGGGAACGAGAGCGGTGGATGAGGGAGATTTGAGCGGGTGCGGGTGATGCGCTCTGAGTGAAGCGGCCGAAGCAAGCGCGCTGTGGTTTGGGGGAGATGGCTTGCGCGAGGCTGCACCTGCTCTGGGTTGGGCTCGAGTCGATGGTGGTGGTAAACCACAATCAACTGGTCAAGGCCAGTTATAAGGGATATAGCTGTGTCATTTTCCGTCTTATAAAAACAATATTCTCCGCATCCTTACCGCATCGAACCACTACTGAGTCTTCATTTTGCACTAGCAGTGTGACCCCGTCCCTGTATTCACTGTATTATACTGACTTCATTGCATGAGAAAACCACCCTACTTTCCTAGGATCGATCCAGGGGGTGTGCACTGCACAAGGTCATGTTTCTGTAGGCCAAGGTCATGGTAATATTGAACGTTCATGTGGGATCTATAGTGTGATCAGAACATGAAAATTGACCCTTTTCCAAGCCACTGTATTTACTCAGAGGCAGCCTCATCAGTGCCCTCCTCCTCAGCAGCATTCTTCTTCTCGTTTTGCACATAGATGAAGCTCTTAGAGCGGCCTGTAAGCACTGACTTGGCAAGCGACAGCGCCTTCAGAGCCTCGTCCCGAGCCTGAGCCTTCCACACAGCCCGGCGGACCTTGGTCTTTGTCCGCGAGGTCCGCTTCTTCGGCACTGCAGGACACGGAAGGGAACGGCAAGGATGTTAAGGTTGAGAACACAATATCCAAAGAGGGTTCAGGACAGACAGAAGAATGGATTCCAGACCGGTCTTTCATATGAGACGCTCCCTCTTCGGCACTGCACGAGAAGGTAGGGAGCAGAAATGTTGGGAACAGAGCCCCAAAGAGGACAAAAGCCAGATATGTTCCCTGGTGAGAAAATGCTTGCTGATTACAATGCAGATGCGTGAAGAGCGACTGACGAGCAGCAGTCGTTCTACTAGGTATTGCAATTGATTACAGTGGCTCAGCCAACCAAGATGACGATCCTCGCTCAAGAAACACAATCTGAGGTATTTTTTATTTGGGCTTATTGTACGACCTTCTATCGCATCCACGACTCTCGCATCCTCCAGAAATAGCAGACGTTCTGGGGCCTGCAGCCCCGGCCAACGTGAGGGAACGGCCTGATGGCGAGACAAGACGCCATTTCCTCGTGACAAGGCTCCTAAAATAGCAGCACACGCGACTCGGATCTAGAGCAACACAACTTCCTGGAGGATGGACACCTGTCACGCCTAGTCTGCTACTTTAACGGCAAAATACTGTCTACAACGGACGGCATATTCTCGCCTGCTTTAAAGAGCCCCAGGAAACTAGACAAAGCCCGAAAATGATGGCCGAGTGTCGGCATAAAAGTCCATGTTAACTTGGACATACCCCAACACAGAACCAATCAAATAAGTCATGCTCGAGACAATTTTCAAACAACCCCAAAAAGCTGTGTCCACCCCGCCATTCGCTAGGTGACACATAGATGAACCCCATCATGAATTGAGTCCACCCCGCCATGCTCAAACGGGCGTGAGACTCTACCCGCATGGTATGGCGCGGCAGAAAGCCCACTAAGCGTAAATCAACGGAGACGGTGAGGCAGAGGGACGGCCATAGTGCAATACGGATAGCATTTGACGCTGGAAAACAGGGCTAGAGACGAGAGCCTGTGCTAGAGCGTAAAGACAACTCAGGGGTTTATCAGTCGTATGGGAGTGGTCAGTCGCGCCAAGAGCACTCTCTGCGCCTGAGATGATACCAGGCTCCCAAAGAGGCAGCACAACCCTCGCTAACCAGTCCTTTCTTGTGAGACTGGAAATGTGGAGCAGAGAAAATAACTACAAATCTGCTTGGCATTCGCCACCGTTGACTTGACTCTACCCACCTGCCATGACAACGACGTTGCTGCTTTGTTCAAACTCCTGCGCGCAGCCGCCGAAAAGAGCATCGCCACGCGCGAACTCGGAGCCGCTAGCGGACACGTGGACACTCTCGCACCCGAACCCCCGAGCACATGTCAGCTCAGTCGCAAGACCCCTGGAAGCGACTGAAGCCCTAACCGTCGACTTGCTGGCGATTTGCAGCGACGACAAGGTCGCAGAGGCAGCGGCAATGGAAGCCATGGCTGTCCACACTAACCCAGTGATCAAAACTAGGAGCGACGCACAAGCAAGCAAGCTGACTAGTGCTTGCAGGGAGATAGTTACTAGGTCAGAAGGAGCAGTGCTACAAGAAAAACTTGGCTCCACATAGGCTGCCGCTGCACTTGGTGGGGGACGAGCAAATCCCAAGGCAGTTTGGAGGGATGCTGGCGTGGCGGGCGGGAGTGGATGAAAGGGCTTGACAGGCGCTACGTTATGCTGACACGTGGACAACGCGGCGACGCGAGGCGAGCAGGTAACCAGCGGGAACTCGTTACAACGCAAACAGAAAAAACAAGAAATAAAGAACCTAGCAGAAAATGGGGTTTGTGTGAGGTGGGGGAAGAACAGGGCCTCAGATTGGTTTTAGGGAGGCTGATTGCTCAGGGTCGCCCATGTGAGAACCCTGGATTTCAGGGTCGGGTTTTGGGCGTGGCGTATTTTTCCAGGCCAAGAAAAAATTTAAGCCTGGCTAATTAGGCCTACATTTTTTTAGTATCTGATTCATGTTTCGGACCGGACTTCACTGCGTACGATGTACCTGTGTGATTTTGGCGAAGGACTCAGAGAAGATCCTTACGGTCCTCGCATTAGACTAACCTTGTGTGTCAAACTTCAGTTTCCCCGAACCGCTGCTCAGACTTTCAATCCTCGCGTCAGATATGGGCGCACGTGTTCAGCATCGCGAAAGTCGCAAGCGATGCAGTTCGCAAATGCAGTTTCGCCCAAACCAACACCTCGTAATTTGCCGAGATGCAGGCAAAGGTGTCACCTCGTAATTTGCCCGAAATGTTGTTTGTGCAGTTGTAGGGACGACAAACTTTCGCCGTGGGTTTCCAGTTCAGCGAAATTCATGCTGCAGTTCGCCGTTTTCTGCGGGTTGGTCTGTGCTTTTGGCTAAGGCCCAAACACACCCCTCACACCTACTCCAGCTTACGTCAAACTACCTACGTCATTTTGGCTCCCCTGTCATCCCCCACACATGTGCTTCAGCTCGCCTCGGACTATATTTGCGTGATTCTGGTCAAGGACCAATCACGCCCCTCACACCTGCTCCAGCTCGCCTTGCGTGATTCTGGTGAAGGACCAGTTACGCCCCTCACACCTACTCCAGCTCGCCCTGGCAGAAAGGATTCTGTTTCAGGGCGGATTTCGACTAAGGTTGATTCGTCAGACTCGTTAAAACAAGAACGTACTACCGTAATCCTCCGGATAGACACCCCTAGCGGCGATTATAGGACTGGTTTGAAATAAAGGGGGGGGCGTTTACTTGAATAAAAAATATACGCCCATGGGCGTTTATACCGATTTTTACAGAAAAAGAAAAGAAAAGAAAAGAAAAACGGGAAATTGTAGGTCTTGATGTTTGTAGGTTATTGGGCGTGGTTCCAGAGGGGACACGCCGAGAACATGCACAGAAACAAGGCTTGAAGGTGCGACCAGCACAGCAAGGCAAGAAAGTTGCCATTCGGCCCTATCACAAGCGATCCTGGTGCCTTGCTGTGCTAGGACACATGGTTAAGGGGTGTTGGGGACCACGTTCCTGCAACATCCGCGTCAGGGCAGCGACGTGGCTTAGGGTACCAGGAATCTGGACAGAAATCTTGTTGACAAGATTCCTTCCTCCACCCTTTTCATCGACGAGGAATCTGCTCCCGACAAGGAACCCAAGCCGCCTTCCATGAGGGGGTACCTCGTCGAGGGGTTCAGTATTTCATTTTCGATCGATGTGAAGCAGCACCAGCTCCCCTTGCGGGAGCTATGGCAGGCTTTCCAGTGTCTGGCATTTCGATCCTTTTTGGTAGACCAGGCGAGCCCACACACATTAGAGCAGAGCACCGTCCAGCTCCTCCCGCACCTCCCGCTCCTCCGGCTCCTCTGGCCCCCCCTGCCCCTCCCACTCCTCCTGCCCCGCCAGCGCCACCCGCTCCTCTGTTCCAGTATGGGCTGCCGGTCCTGACTCTGCTGCTGCCGGGCGAGAAACTTCTGCAAGACGACATCAATGCCCATCCAAAGCCCGGCCCTAGCTCTTCCGCTGTGCCACCAGCTGCTCGTGATTGGGGGATTCTGCACGGCGATGACTGACCCGAGCACGACGCAGATGCTGACGATGGAGTCGAGTACTGGTCTCGGGATGGTCTTCCTGAGAAGCTCCCTGCCGTCGTTTCCCGAGGGCAGAAAACCGCCACATCCTTCTTATGTGAACCGAGATGCCTGCCCCCCATCCCCCAGGAATCGGATGAACAGGAGGAAGCAGAACTCCTACACGGCCAAGGATAATCTATTTTGGCTCGACCGACTGAAAGAGGTGAAGAAGAAGAACAAAGTCGCGGCTGCCGTAAGAGGCTGCATGGGCAGGGGAGGTCTTCTTGGTACGTCGATATGGAGACACGGGTGTATTCGAAGCTTCTCGCCGCACACGCTATGGGAACTCCGATCTCGGTGTCAAGGCTGCAGAAGTAGTCACGGGAGTTAATGAAGGTTCTTCACCCCGACGTCAAATGGCAGGGCTCCTACTGCTGGACCGAACTATTCCGGTCAAGGTGGAATTTGTCGGTTTGTGCCAAGACGAAAATTGGTCAGAAAATGACCGATAGTAAGTGCACCGTCATTGCATCAGTTTATGCCTCTTCTTTCCGCTTATGTACGTACTCTCTTATTCGAGTTTACACTATCGCTCCATACGAAAGTTGTATTAACTCGTGTCCTTTTGAAATTCCTATACTGCCCTCCCATAGGTTGTTCGGCAGAGGTCGAAAACTTCTGGCAATTCTGCAGGGAAGTGCGAAGCATTTACGACATTGAAGAGTGATGGATAATCAACGCTGACCAAACTCCACTGTGGTTGGAGATGCCGCCTGACCGCACCGTCGAGCAGGTCGGCGTCAACTCCGTCCCTATCCGCTCCGCCGGCTACCAGAAGGAGCGATTTACTATTATGCTCGCGTGCACAGCAGGGGGGGAGAAGCTAAAGCCGTGGGTCTACTTCAAGAAGAAGACCATCCCTCAAAGGGATTTCCCCGCTGGTATGTCTTGGATTCGCGGCTCTTGTGTGTTTCCCTTGTTTTTTCAACCGCGCAAACCAAGCTTACACTCTGTGTCTTTATGCAGATATCGTCGTTGCGGCACAGCCCAACGGCTGGATGGATGCGGACGGTTAGAAGACCTGGCTAGAAAACGCTGTCGAGCCCTTCATCCGCCCAAGATTTGGTTTGCGTGCGCACTCTGCCCTACTGATTCTTGACTCCTACCGTGGTCACCTGACGCCTAAAGTTAAGGAATGCTATGGGAAGCTTGCTGTCATCCCCGGAGTCATCCTCGCGGGCTGCACTTCCATCATGCAGCCCCTGGATGTATGCGTCAACCGAACTTTCAAGGCTCGGGTGAGGCAATACTACCAGAAGTGGTTTGACTTCGTGGGGATGTATTCCAAGACCGCTAAGGGTGAGTATCTTCTGGCTTGTTTTTAACAGTTTGTTTTCTGCAAACATGGTTCTAACTGAGTGGTACTCATGTTTGCTGGCGCGGGAAACCTCAAGAAGCCTCCGCCGGAGGAGATCCTGAAGTGGGTCTCCAAGGCGTGGAGGGCCATCCTCGCCGCCCTCATTCAGAGGGCTTTCAAGACGTGTGGCATCAGCAACTCGCTCGACGTCAGTGAAGACTATCCGACCCTCCAGCACATGCGCAACAAGCGAGAGGTAGAGGTGGATGTTGATGACGAGGTCGGGGCAGATGGCTTCTCTGGAGACAACTCGGTAGGTGCTGAGGGTGGGGCTGCAGAGGAAGAGGATGAGGAGGGGGGGGAGGAGGAGGAGGAGGAGGATGAGGAGGATGAGGAGGAAAGGGAGGAGGGGGACGAGGAGTAGGAGTAGACTAGGAGTAATGTTCGATGAGCAATGCTAGCTTGAAACTGTTGCATATCCTAGGTTTAGGTTTGAATAGGATGACTTATGACTGCCTAAAAAATTACATAAAATGTATGTTTCTAATGCATTCTGTTTATCTTGGCTAGTTCCATAAAATGCTGTTTGAAAAGAAGGGGGGGCACATAGGGATTTGATCCGGAGCAGAGAGGAGGGGCGTATAATATAATAAATGCTTATAAGTTCCAATGCACGAGTTAGAGCCCATGGGACAAATCCTACGGAGGGGCGTCTATCCGGGTGATTACGGTATTTTTCAGGGCTTAAAAAATGGGAACACATAAATTTCAGGTTTGCTGAAAATCAAAACCTGAAAAATCAGGGTATGCCCTAAAAAACACCCTGATATACAGGCTTTCAAGCCTTTTTTGCTTGACTTCTGAGGGCCTGGTGAAGAAGCTTGAAACCTAGGCAATTGAAGTGGTGCATAAGTTTTGATAGCCAAGTGATTTCTGTCAGCTGAAGCTGTCAACAAATATATTTATTTAGATAAGCTAGGTCATATTTCTTTATAGCCTAGCTATTAGTTTAGTTCTTAGCGAGTACAGCCCTCGTTTTGTATCCCTCGAAACTTTCCCTTAGTCACAACTTTCCCCGCTACTCTAGCATGGTATTGTGCTAGGTTAGTTTTTTTTTTTTTTTTTTTTTCCCCGCCGTTACTTACACTTCCGCCCTTACTCACGCTTCCGCCATTACTCACGCTTCCGCCGTTACTGTAGCTTCTTTTTTTTGCGCATGTGACACTCTTTCCATTTCGCGCACCCCCTGCCCTCCAATTTTGTGCTTCGTAGCCTCGAGCTCCCCCCCCTCCCCCCCCTAGCGTTCGATTTGTTCGTGCGGTAGTCAGCAGACCGGCACGCCAGCCAACGCACCAGCTAGCTAGCCAGCCCGTTAGCCAGCTCGCTAGCCAGCCCGTTAGCCAGCTCACTAGCCAGCCTCCTTAGCCAGCTCGCCGCCAGCGGTGCTAGCCAGCTTGGAGCCAGCAGCGCCAGCCAGCTTGCTGCCAGCAGCTTCCGCCAGCTCTCTGCCAGCAGCTTCCGCCAGCTCGCTGCCAGCAGCTATTCACCAGCAGCGCCAGCCAACTAGATGCCAACGGCTTCCGCCAGCTCACAGCCAGCAGCTAGTCGTCCGCAGCGCCTGCCAGCTCGTCGCTGGCCAGCT